ACATTAATGAAATCAATTGTGAATGGGGTAACAAAACAATATAACGTATAATTTTTCATATTTAATTAATAAATAATACATTTATTACTTATACTAATAATAAATACTTATATTGTGATGAAAACCCACACAATATCTGGGGATTTTTGCACATTTATATGAATGTTTGTTTTTTAAGTATGTTCGTATAAGGATCAGAGATGGCAAGTTGCTACTTTTGTAATAATAATAAAACTTGGAATTTTGATTAGTTTTTTAACGATAGATTTTTAAATTAATTGGTTAACAAACATTAATATCTTCTAAGTTTAAATTGTCAATATCCCTCTTATAATGTGTAATAATATTGAGTTTCCCATCTTTGCTTTAATGTGCAAAATAAAATTAATCTCACTACTTAAGTTTTCCTTGGAAAAACAAATATGTTTTCATTATAAAAATATGTTTTTTTTAATACAAATATTTACACATTTATAATAATATTTTCAACATTTTGAAACTCTTAATTTTCATGTTTTCTAAAAATAAATTGAAACGTGTTGTGTTTACTTAAATGCCAATATTTTAGACAATATTTTGCAAAATGTTAACTTGCCTACCAAATGTCTTATATCTTTCTCAAGAACTTTTAAGAAAAGCCAATAAACTCTTTATATTTTATATGAAAACCTTCAAATTTTACACATAAACGTTTATGAGAACTTTATAAGCAGGAGAAATATTGAAGGAGTCCTTCAGAGGGATACCTTTAAGAGCAATTGAAAATACACTTAAGCCATTTTGCAGATAAACGTACGTAATGACAAATTCCTTTTAAAAATTTACAAAAAAAAAATAACCATGTAAATAAATAAAATTTTAAAGTTTAGACATGCAGTTAATACTAGATGTATTATTAAAGGTTAAAGGTTAATTTCAACTTAAATCAAATCAAAAATATATTTGTCAACTCCATAACAATATAATTACGTTGTAAACCATGTAATAAATACATGTATCACAATTTCATATGTATTCCTATAAATAACCTACTAATTACAACTCTTGTAATGATTGTTTTCAAACATTTTTACCGTTTCATACTTAAATGGACTTAGAAAAAGTTTATAAAACTGATATATTTATAACTACGACAAAACAAAATAACAAAAATAACAACAATTTACTAAATGATTCATTAACTTATTTAAGACAACCACGTACATGCGTTGTCTATTTTGATATGAGTGAGTGCCATTTAAAGGCAACACCGACAACTAAGCATTCAAACCACCCACTACCATTCATCAAGATAAAATAGCTACAATAACTACACGAAAGTAGAAAATAAATAAAAAATAGGAAATTAAAGTCGTTCATGTTGGAAAATATTATAACCCTACACCACCCTACAGCAATAACTTATATTGAGGGAATTTCCGTTTCTCTAGACTATAGTCAAAACTATTGTCTATAGTCCAATTATAGACTATTCTATAGTCCAGACTATCTGACCATAGACTATTCTATACTCAAGAGTACAGACTATTTTATAGTTCAAACAATAGACTATTCTATATTCCAGTCTATAGATTATTCTATAGTCCAGACGATAGACTATAGCACAGACTATAGACTATTCTAAAGTCCAGGCTATAGACTATTCTATAGTCCAGACTATAGACTATTCTATAGTACAGACTATAGACTATTCTATAGTCCAGACTATAGACTATTCTATAGTCCAGACTATAGACTATTCTATAGTCCAGACCATAGACTATTCTATAGTCCAGACTACAGACTATTATAAAGTCCAGACTATAGACTCTTCTATAGTCCAGACTATAGACTATTCTAAAGTCCAGACTATAGACTATTCTATAGTCTAGACTATAGACTATTCTATAGTCCAGACTATAGACTATTCTATAGTCCAAACTATTCTAAAGTCCAGACTATAGACTATTCTATAGTCCAAACTATTCTAAAGTCTAGACTATTCTATTTATAGTCCAAATTATAGACTATTCTATAGTCCAGACTATAGACTATTCTAAAGAACAGACTATAGACTATTCTATAGTCCAGACTATTCTATAGTCCAGACTAGTCTATATTCCAGACTATTCTATAGTCCACACTATTCTATAGTCCAGACTATAGACTATTCTAAAGTCCAGACTATAGACTATTCTATAGTCCAGACTATAGACTATTCTATAGTCCAGACTATAGACTATTCTATAATGCAGACTATAGACTATTCTATAGTCCAGACTATAGACTGTTCTATAGTCCAGACTATAGACTATTCTATAATCCAGACTATAAACTATTATATAGTCCAATCTATAGACTATTTATTAGTCCAGACTGTGGACTATTCTATAGTCCGGACAATATACTATTCGATAGTCCAGACTATAGACTATTCGATAGTCCGGACCAAATACTATTCTAGTCCAGACCATAGACTATTATATAGTCCAGACCACAGACTATTCTATAGTCTAGACTAAAGACTATTCTATAGTCCAGACTATAGACTATTCTATAGACCAGACTACAGACTATTCTATAGTCCACACTTAAGGCCAAACTGTATTCCAGTCCTGTCGATTGTATAATTAATACTATCAACTTATTGGTGTAGGGTATAGTGAAAGTATAAAAATAATATTGAAAAACAGTGATATAAATGGGGCTTTTAAATGGTTTTAAAAGGAGACTTCCTGGAATATACATATGTATGTATAACAATGTTTAAACAAATTTTTCTCACAAATTTTGAATATCTTTATACCAATTTTAAGCTGATGTATATTTTGTTATCTGAAGAATTTTAAACATTGTCCCACTGTGTATTGCATTAAATATTTAACGTGTGTTCAAAGGAATAAATAAAAATATATACTCTCATGTGAGTTTATTAATTCCCCACTTTATTTTATTTGTTGTTTATTTAGTTTGTTTTTTTATCTTTTTGTTTGTTTTAAATACAATTATTTTGTTTTTGTTGATTTTCGTAGAATCAATAAAGAACAAATGGCGTGAAAACCTAAGAGACACACTCGCATATAACCCAACCACCCACTGCTATAACACCAACAATAATTGCTCTTTTTCATAAGCTTTCGTTTGACATATAAGAACAACAACAAAAATAATAGGAACATTAAAATATTCAAACAAAACTGTGTATAAAAATAGCCAAGTATGTATTTTTATACACAAAAAGGATTAATATGAAAATAAAAAAAGAAACACACACACACACAAGAAATTGTTGCGAGTGCTTGTGTTCATAGATTAGATTGAGAGGATTAAGTAAATGTCATACATCTACTACTAAAAACAATAATAATAGAAACTTGAATAACAAAACAAAACACACATGAAAAACATAGAAATGAGTTAAACAACGACGCATGTCATGTTCAACGAAAAAAAAGTTTTGTTTTCTATTACTTATTTGAATATTCTTACTTAATTTCTTCGTTTGTTTGTTTCTTTATGTCGTTGTTTACGAAAGAAGTTTAAGTTTTGTTACGGTTAGAAAACAAAAAAAAATAGAAATTGTAACCGTTATAAAAGACACATACTATTTTGAAAAGTAGCAAATATAGTTTATAACGGTAACAATATCTGAACACAGTGTTGACAAACTGTTACTCATTCGAGATAAAGTAGTTTGTTAAAGTAGGTTAGGATAAGCTCAAAAACTTAGATTCCAGGACGTAATTCTTTAGAATTTCCCAATCAGTCTTTCTGAAGGATGTAATATCTGGAATAACATTGGTCCCAAGATATTTAGATCTATATTCGATGAAAAATATTTTCTGTGACTGATAATTTTTACAAGTTTGATATTTTAAATGGACATTTATATGAAAAACTCTATATGGAAGTGCGCAATTGCGAGATTTTATACATTTATTGTGATTGAAAACCTATACATAGATGATATTATGCCAATAGATGGCGTCATTGACTCATATTAAAAAAAATACAATATGGCTAAAGAAAAACCATTATTTACCCAAAATTTGGTGAAATAAGTTTTTAAATTTTTAAATATTATATTCAAGCGGAACATTAAAGCAAATACCGGTAGAACTGGGAGACAAATCGGTTCCGGGGGTCTTCGTTGAAAACCCAGAAATTAAATAAACTAACGTCTACTTAATCACAACAGTCACTTCCAGGTAGATGTCCATGCAATGAGGCGATATGGACTGTTAAAAAACCCTTACCGAATACTTTTCCAGAACAAAGCTTTTCTTCATTTGAGTACCAATAATCGGAAGCGAAAAATAAAAGTACTTAATATATAGTTAAGGGATCTCTAGGAAGTGGTCTTACTAATGTTAATCCTTTCGACACAACGACAGCTGAATAAATAAAACAGCAATTGCTTAACTTTACTAAATTCTTTAAACATTTATTACTATCGCTTTAGATTTTAAATTAATAAAACTTTAATCTTTAACCTAAATTACTAAAATATAATTAAAACTCCATCTCTCTTTTATAGTCTTGATAAAACAAGAAAAACATATACAAAATAAAACTAATAAATTATAGGCAAATCAAATTTGTTAAGAATGCCGACAATTTGCTAATATTCTTCTTAAATATTATAGCAATTAATTTAATTTCTTTTCATTGTTTTAACATTGTATTTCCTTTTAGGTATTAATTCAAAACAACATTGATGTTCCACCAAATTACTAAAATCTAATTCACTCCCTTACATTAACCCCCCTCCCTTGCTTGTGTGCAATCTTATTAAATAAGAAAAGGACACATTTTTTATTGACATTAACGAAGAATATGTTTATGTATACAACAACATCAACTTAAAGAACAACAACAACTAATCTGCAAGGAGTAAAATTTTTCTAGAAATAACAAAAACCAAATACATTAAAGAAACAGAAACGCATATGCCGAAAATTGTCAACATCATCATCACCATCTATGTTGCGAACAAGAACAACAACGTCGTTATCATTGAACTTTAACAGCAGTAAGAGGGGGTGTTGTGTGCGTACTTGCCAAAAAACTGTATTGCTTTTAGATTTGTTATTGTTATTTTTCCTCTGTGTTTATTTTTCGTTTAGCCATCTCTTTGTTTACTTAAAGCACGAGTTATCGACGACCAAGATAAGAAGGGGGAAATGGGTTTATAAGAAAAGGATGAAAACTTAATAATAAGTAAGAAAGTAGAGTCGGTCATATTCGACTAACTAACTAACTAACTAACTAACTAACTAACTAACTAACTAACTAACTAACTAACTAACTAACTACTAACTAACTAACTAACTAACTAACTAACTAACTAACTAACTAACTAACTAACTAACTAACTAACTAACTAACTAACTAACTAACTAACTAACTAACTAACTAACTAACTAACTAACTAACTAACTAACTAACTAACTAACTAACTAACTAACTAACTAACTAACTACTAACTAACTAACTAACTAACTAACTAACTAACTAACTAACTAACTAACTAACTACTAACTAACTAACTAACTAACTAACTAACTACTAACTAACTAACTAACTAACTAACTAACTAACTAACTAAACTAACTAACTAACTAACTAACTACTAACTAACTAACTAACTAAACTAACTAACTAACTAACTAACTAACTAACTAACTAACTAACTAACTAACTAACTAACTAACTAACTAACTAACTAACTAACTAACTAACTAACTAACTAACTAACTAACTAACTAACTAACTAACTAACTAACTAACTAACTACTAACTAACTAACTAACTAACTAACTAACTAACTAACTAACTACTAACTAACTAACTAACTAACTAACTAACTAACTAACTAACTAACTAACTAACTACTAACTAACTAACTACTAACTAACTAACTAACTAACTAACTACTAACTAACTAACTACTAACTAACTAACTAACTACTTAACTACTAACTAACTAACTAACTAACTACTAACTAACGAACTAACTAACTAACTAACATAACTAACTAACTAACTAACTAACTAACTAACTAACTAACTAACTAACTACTAACTAACTACTAACTAACTAACTAACTACTAACTAAACTAACTAACTAACTAACTAACTAACTAACTAACTAACTAACTAACTAACTAACTAACTAACTAACTAACTACTACTAACTAACTAACTAACTAACTAACTAACTAACTAACGACTAACTAACTAACTAACTACTAACTAACTAACTAACTAACTAACTAACTAACTAACTAACTACTAACTAACTAACTAACTAACTAACTAACTAACTAACTAACTAACTAACTAACTAACTAACTAACTAACTAACTAACTAACTAACTAACTAACTAACTAACTAACTAACTAACTAACTAACTAACTAACTAACTAACTAACTAACTAACTAACTAACTAACTAACTAACTAACTAACTAACTAACTAACTAACTAACTAACTAACTAACTAACTAACTAACTAACTACTAACTAACTAACTAACTAACTAACTAACTAACTAACTAACTAACTAACTAACTAACTAACTAACTAACTAACTAACTAACTAACTAACTAACTAACTAACTAACTAACTAACTAACTAACTAACTAACTAACTAACTAACTAACTAACTAACTAACTAACTAACTAACTAACTAACTAACTAACTAACTAACTAACTAACTAACTAACTAACTAACTAACTAACTAACTAACTAACTAACTAACTAACTAACTAACTAACTAACTAACTAACTAACTAACTAACTAACTAACTAACTAACTAACTAACTAACTAACTAACTAACTAACTAACTAACTAACTAACTAACTAACTACTAACTAACTAACTAACTAACTAACTAACTAACTAACTAACTAACTAACTAACTAACTAACTAACTAACTAACTAACTAACTAACTAACTAACTAACTAACTAACTAACTAACTACTAACTAACTAACTAACTAACTAACTAACTAACTAACTAACTACTAACTAACTAACTAACTAACTAACTAACTAACTAACTAACTAACTAACTAACTAACTAACTAACTAACTAACTAACTAACTAACTAACTAACTAACTAACTAACTAACTAACTAACTAACTAACTAACTAACTACTACTAACTAACTACTAACTAACTAACTAACTAACTAACTAACTAACTAACTAACTACTAACTAACTAACTAACTAACTAACTAACTAACTACTAACTAACTAACTAACTAACTAACTACTAACTAACTAACTAACTAACTAACTAACTAACTAACTAACTAACTAACTAACTAACTAACTAACTAACTAACTAACTAACTAACTAACTAACTAACTAACTAACTAACTACTAACTAACTAACTAACTAACTAACTAACTACTAACTAACTAACTAACTAACTACTAACTAACTAACTAACTAACTAACTAACTAACTAACTAACTAACTAACTAACTAACTAACTAACTAACTAACTAACTAACTAACTAACTAACTAACTAACTAACTAACTAACTAAACTACTAACTAACTAACTAACTAACTAACTAACTAACTAACTAACTAACTAACTAACTAACTAACTAACTAACTAACTAACTAACTAACTAACTACTAACTAACTAACTAACTACTAAACTAACTAACTACAACTAACTAACTAACTAACTAACTACTAACTAACTACTAACTAACTAACTAACTAACTAACTAACTAACTAACTAACTAAACTAACTACTAACTAACTAACTAACTAACTAACTAACTAACTAACTAACTAACTAACTAACTAACTACTAACTAACTAACTACTAACTAACTAACTAACTAACTAACTAACTAACTAACTAACTAACTAACTACTAACTCTAACTAACTAACTAACTAACTAACTAACTAACTAACTAACTAACTAACTAACTAACTAACTAACTAACAACTAACTAACTACTAACTAACTAACTAACTAACTAACTAACTAACTAACTAACTAACTAACTAACTAACTAACTAACTAACTACTCCTAACTAACTAACTAACTAACTACTAACTAACTAACTAACTACTACTAACTAACTAACTAACTAACTACTAACTAACTAACAACTAACTAACTAACTAACTACTAACTAACTAACTAACTAACTAACTAACTAACTAACACTACTAACTAACTAACTAACTAACTAACTAACTAACTAACTAACTACTAACTAACTAACTAACTAACTAACTAACTAACTACTAACTAACTAACTACTCTAACTAACTAACTACTAACTAACTAACTAACTACTAACTAACAACTAACTAACTAACTACTTAACTAACTAACTAACTAACTAACTAAGACACTGGGACCATATTTTGGATCATTACAAACAAACATCATCACAAACGCATAATACGCACGCTTACTATAGTTCTTGTAGGTTAAAAAAACTGTTACAGCAGCAATATTCGTGTTTTTCCCAAATGATAAGGATGTTAAGCACAAAACAAAAACTATATGTACCGTTAAATTTAAAACAAAACAAATACTCCCTCACTCAGGAAAAATCACACACAACAAACATATGTAATATGATCCCATCACCCACTCACAACCCCCAATAGAGAGGTAAAGAACTGTACGAGAAAGTAAAGGAATGAAATAGAAAAAGGTATAAAAAGAGAGAAGTCAAGAGTTAAATGACATGCGCCCTTTGTTGTTAATTAACAATAATTTTATATTAAATAGTAATTTAAAAGAATGTCTTATGAATTAAAATACATATATAAATTTATTAATATTGTTTAAACTTTTCTACTTTATCTGTTTAAATCAAATGTATTTGGCTTTGAGCTCTTGCTCCTTGAGCTTTCGCTCTCTCATTCTCTCTATCTCTCATTTTATTTTTGTCATTGTAATACACATAGTAGTTGACAGTATCCTTGTTTTCCTTTAAAGTTTCAGTTCCATTTCAACCACAATTCGCAGAGGTAACCACAAACGAAAGTCAAGAAATTCCTTTAGAAAATAGAAAATTATTTTGGGAAAAATTGTTTTTAAAACATAAAAAGTGTTTCAAATAAAAAGTAAGTTTAATTAAGAAAATTAATTTAAAATAAATCAGACGAAAATAAAGTGCTCTAAGAAAAAACTTGGAAAAAGACGTTGATAATATTCAATTAAAAGTGAATACATTTTGTTGAAAATTGATTTTTCCAAAAGGACCAAAAAACCAAATTACTCACTCCCCAAATTACAGGTAATAATGTGATATATACACAATCCCTGAACATAAAGAAACGGAATCAAAACCAATTATAAGAAAATTTACACATAGCAAAATAAAAGATATTAAAGTTATAAAATTTTATCAAAAACCTGGCTAATATCATACCAAATATCAGATATGATTTTAACATGCTTAAGACCTCTGAAAAGTAATTTATTTTGAAGTTTATTTAAACTTTTTATACATTTTGCAGTACAAGTCGATGTTTTCCCAGTACTTTGCATTATAAAAATATTAGTTTTTCAGCCACTCCCTTTAAATAGGTCAAATGAGGACCGGTTAAAGTTTGAGCAGGCTTGTTTACAATATGTAGTAGATATCTGCAGAGGTAAATATTTATTAACATGAACATAAGAAACGTGTAGATCTGTTTAGTACAGCAATTAAAGTTTTATTTAAATTATAAAGTTATTTGTGATGGATGAATGAAAGTAAACTGAATATCGAATAAAAAATAACCAAGTTAATGGATTTTTAATAAAGAGCTTTTCAAAAAGAAATGTATGTATTATCCAAAGAGCAACTACAAACCGAAATTTAAAAATCTGGTTTCGTTACGATATTCTGCAAAAAAAACACTTAAATACCGCTTTTTATGTCGTGATATGGCTTTAGAAGTCATGGAATGAGACTGGACATTCATCCGGATCTTCTGCAGAAGAAGTACCCTTTTCATACTCATTTCATATCATATTACTTCAGAAAGTTGGGGGAAGTTCTAGTTCAGTTCTAGTTCATTTGTAGTTCAGTTCTAATTCAGTTCTAGTTCAGTTCTAGTTCAGTTCTAGTTTAGTTCTAGTTCAGTTCTAGTTCAGTTCTAGTTCAGTTCTAGTTCAGTTCTAGTTCAGTTCTAGTTCAGTTCTAGTTCAGTTCTAGTTCAGTTCTAGTTCAGTTCTAGTTCAGTTCTAGTTCAGTTCTAGTTTAGTTATAGTTCAGTTATAGTTCAGTTATAGTTCAGTTTAGTTCAGTTCTAGTTCAGTTCTAGTTCAGTTCTAGTTCAGTTCTAGTTCAGTTCTAGTTCAGTTCTAGTTCAGTTCTAGTTCAGTTCTAGTTCAGTTCTAGTTCAGTTCTAGTTCAGTTCTAGTTCAGTTCTAGTTCAGTTCTAGTTCAGTTTCTAGTTCAGTTCTAGTTCAGTTCTAGTTCAGTTCTAGTTCAGTTCTAGTTCAGTTCTAGTTCAGTTCTAGTTCAGTTCTAGTTCAGTTCTAGTTCAGTTCTAGTTCAGTTCTAGTTCAGTTCTAGTTCAGTTTCTAGTTCAGTTCTAGTTCAGTTCTAGTTCAGTTCTTTGTTCAGTTCTAGTTCAGTTCTAGTTCAGTTCTAGTTCAGTTCTAGTTCAGTTCTAGTTCAGTTCTAGTTCAGTTCTAGTTCAGTTCTAGTTCAGTTCTAGTTCAGTTCTAGTTCAGTTCTAGTTCAGTTCTAGTTCAGTTCTAGTTCAGTTTAGTTCAGTTCTAGTTCAGTTCTAGTTCAGTTCTAGTTCAGTTCTAGTTCAGTTCTAGTTCAGTTCTAGTTCAGTTCTAGTTCAGTTCTAGTTCAGTTCTAGTTCAGTTCTAGTTCAGTTCTAGTTCAGTTCTAGTTCAGTTCTAGTTCAGTTCTTCTTCAGTTCTAGTTCAGTTCTAGTTCAGTTCTAGTTCAGTTCTAGTTCAGTTCTAGTTCAGTTCTAGTTCAGTTCTAGTTCAGTTCTAGTTCAGTTCTAGTTCAGTTCTAGTTCAGTTCTAGTTCAGTTCTAGTTCAGTTCTAGTTCTTTCTAGTTCAGTTCTAGTTCAGTTCTAGTTCAGTTCTAGTTCAGTTCTAGTTCAGTTCTAGTTCAGTTCTAGTTCAGTTCTAGTTCAGTTCTAGTTCAGTTCTAGTTTCAGTTCTAGTTCAGTTCTAGTTCAGTTCTTTTCAGTTCTAGTTCGTTTCTAGTTCAGTTCTAGTTCAGTTCTAGTTCAGTTCTAGTTCATTCTAGTTCAGTTCTAGTTCAGTTCTAGTTCAGTTCTAGTTCAGTTCTAGTTCAGTTCTAGTTCAGTTCTAGTTCAGTTCTAGTTCAGTTCTAGTTCAGTTCTAGTTCAGTTCTAGTTCAGTTCTAGTTCAGTTCTAGTTCAGTTCTAGTTCAGTTCTAGTTCAGTTCTAGTTCAGTTCTAGTTCAGTTCTAGTTCAGTTCTAGTTCAGTTCGTTAGTTCAGTTCTAGTTCAGTTCTAGTTCAGTTCTAGTTCAGTTCTAGTTCAGTTCTAGTTCAGTTCTAGTTCAGTTCTAGTTCAGTTCTAGTTCAGTTCTAGTTCAGTTCTAGTTCAGTTCTAGTTCAGTTCTAGTTCAGTTCTAGTTCAGTTCTAGTTCAGTTCTAGTTCAGTTCTAGTTCAGTTCTAGTTCAGTTCTAGTTCAGTTCTAGTTCAGTTCTAGTTCAGTTCTAGTTCAGTTCTAGTTCAGTTCTAGTTCAGTTTCTAGTTCAGTTCTAGTTCAGTTCTAGTTCAGTTCTAGTTCAGTTCTAGTTCAGTTCTAGTTCAGTTCTAGTTCAGTTCTAGTTCAGTTCTAGTTCAGTTCTAGTTCAGTTCTAGTTCAGTTCTAGTTCAGTTCTAGTTCAGTTCTAGTTCAGTTCTAGTTCAGTTGTAGTTCAGTTTAGTTCAGTTCTAGTTCAGTTCTAGTTCAGTTCTAGTTCAGTTCTAGTTCAGTTGTAGTTCAGTTCTAGTTCAGTTCTAGTTCAGTTCTAGTTCAGTTCTAGTTCAGTTCTAGTTCAGTTCTAGTTCAGTTCTAGTTCAGTTCTAGTTCAGTTCTAGTTCAGTTTAGTTCAGTTCTAGTTCAGTTCTAGTTCAGTTCTAGTTCAGTTCTAGTTCAGTTCTAGTTCAGTTCTAGTTCAGTTCTAGTTCAGTTCTAGTTCAGTTCTAGTTCAGTTCTAGTTCAGTTCTAGTTCAGTTCTAGTTCAGTTCTAGTTCAGTTCTAGTTCAGTTTAGTTCAGTTTCTAGTTCAGTTCTAGTTCAGTTCAGTTCTAGTTCTAGTTCAGTTCTGTTCAGTTCTAGTTCAGTTCTAGTTCAGTTCTAGTTCAGTTCTAGTTCAGTTCTAGTTCAGTTCTAGTTCAGTTCTAGTTCAGTTCTAGTTCAGTTCTAGTTCAGTTCTAGTTCAGTTCTAGTTCAGTTCTAGTTCAGTTCTAGTTCAGTTCAGTTCTCAGTTCTAGTTCTAGTTCAGTTCTAGTTCAGTTCTAGTCCAGTTTTAGTTCAGTTTTAGTTCAGGTTTAGTTCCGGTTATAGTTCAAGTTCAGTTCAAGTTCAGTTCAAGTTCATTTCTAGTTTAGTTTAGTTCAGTTTTGGTTAGCTCTGGTTTAGTTCTAGTTCTGTTCTAGTTTACACAAGACTATACACTTGACTACAGACTAATCTACATATATATTAGACTATAGACTAGACTATAGACTAGACTGGACTATACTATAGACTATGGACTATACTATAGACTAGACTGTAAACCAGACTATAGACTAGAGTAAAGACTAGACTATAGAACAAAATGAGAACAAACCTAAGTTCTCATTTCGAATTTGGTTGAACTGCTTTCTCAAGAGAGAAATATTCTTCGAGAACATTCTTAAATTGTGGAAGCATCAGTCAATCATTTTAATTTAAAATTTAAATGTTTTCAATTTATCATATGTACATTATTTACGTGCAGATAATTATTTAATTAAACATTTAAATCATTTATTTTTGCATTTAAACTGAAATTACGTATTTAATATTTATAATAATGGATGGCATGTTGATTTTTCTTTCATTTTGTTTTTCTATAATTTACAGACCACAATGCTGAGTAATTGCGTTGGTAATTGCGGCTTTAGTGGACCCCCACCGCCGGACACTATACTATTAATGCCACCACCACCATTACCATCATTTCTATTACCCAAAACTGCTGCTTTAGTGCCGACCACCAATGATTCCCATCCTTGTTTCGCAACACTCATGTGTGATCCCAATCCACATCCCCGTGAAAGTGGCATGGAATTTGTTGAGTTTACTGGAGCCAATAGCAACGGTTTGGAAAATACCTGGTTGTTTGTATTGATTTCATCGTGTGTTGGTGTTTTAATATTGGGTGGACTACTGGCTGTTATTCTATTGAAATGTCGCGAGTAAGTTGAAAAGGCTTAAATGGTATTTGAGCATAACGTGTTGTTGTTAATAATTTGTGTGGTTTTTATGTTGTTGTTGTTATTATTATTGCAGTACTCTCTTCTCAAGCTGTAATTTAAGCTATCACGATAGCAATATTAAACAGGGCACCATGTCAGCTTTGGGTGAACCCTCAAAATCGAATCCTTTTATGGCTGGTGGTATTTTATATCCCTGCACTTCGGCCAATAGTCGTGATACTTTACAGAGTCAATTGGCCAGTGATAGTCGCCTATTGTGGGCCACCTTAACACCGCATGGTACACGTCATTTTATTTCCGACTATCCGGCAACAAGTGCACAAGATGTTGCGGGTCACTATGAGGTTGTCGACTATCGTGCCAAAACACCAAATCAACCATATCGTGATTATGTTAAACGTACTCCTATTAAGGTAAGTTTTTCGTGTATTTTAAGGATTGTAATTTGGTCTTCTTTAGGGCTTCTGTTGGGAGTTCAATAGCCTGATTTTTTTTAGTTATTTTAATTATATATATATTAGTTTTTTGTACAGAAATTCGATAGACCTATTAATATAGAAATTATTTTATTTATTAGTAAATAATTTTCCCTTAAAATTTGACTTTAAAGTTCTTTCTTTAACCTTAGTTTAAATAAGATATCAGGATAGAACAATTAGGAATACTAGCTATACCCCTAGTCCTATTCATATTCCCTAGTCATGTTCCTAGTACTCTTTCTAGTCCCAGTCCTATTTTTAATTCTCTTTCTAGTCATATTCCTAGTTCCATTCCTAGTTTGTTAGTAAATAATTTTCCCTTAAAATTTGACTTTAAAGTTTTTCTTTAACCTTAGTTTAAATAAGATATCAGGATAGAACAATTGGGAATACTAGCTATACCCCTAGTCCTATTCATATTCCCTAGTCATGTTCCTAGTACTCTTTCTAGTCCCAGTCCTATTTCTAGTTCTCTTCCTAGTTCTATTCTTAGTCCTCTTTCTAGTCCTACTCCTAGTCTTCTTTCTAGTGCTAGTCATAATCTTACTTCTTTTCCTAGTTGTATTCCTAGTTCCATCCCTAATCCTGTTATAAGTCCTCTTTATATTAATATTCCTAGTTCTAGTGCTATTCCTAGTCTTATTCCAACTTTTAGTCATATTCCTAATCCTATTCCAAGTCTTATTTCTAGTCCTATTCCCAGTCATATTCCATTCCTAGTCCTATTGCTAGTCCTATTTCTAGACCTAATCCTAGTGCTAGACCTATTCCAATTCCTAGCCCTATTCCTAGTCATAGATCTATTCATATTCCTATTCCTAGTTCACTTTCTAGTTTTATTCCTTGTAATCTTTCTAGTAATATCACTAGTCGTATTTCTAGTTATATTTCAAGTCATACTAAAGGTTTCATTCTTAGTCCTATAACTAGTCCCATTTCTGAAACTATTTCTATTTTTAGTCTTCTATTTGTAGTCCTATCCTTAGTCCTACTGATAGTTCTATTCATAGTCCACTTTTTAGACTTTTTCCTATCCTTAATCCTATTCTTGGTTATATTTCTTGTCTTCTTCTAGTCCTGATCTTATGATTACATTTCATACAATTCATTTTCTTTCTTTCAGTCCTTCGACAACAATGGCTTTATCGACTACGACTATGAAGATCCCACTCCCCTAATGGATTCCTATCACGACGATATGGACTCCGGCTATCAAGAGCCTCAGGAAATTCTCAACTCCATGCAGAGAGCATCACCACGTCCTCGAGTCTCATCGCCCACACGTATAGATAATCCCAATATGGCACCACTAAACTACTATCCTTCGAATCCACGTACTCATCAGTCTAGTGCAGCCAGTACACTACAACGTCCGACCAATTTCAATACAACTGCCACACTCAACAGGAAGACCACCACCATGAATAGGCGCATCAGTGATGCTTCTTCATATAATGGACAGAATATATAAGTTAAAGGAATAGCATCAACAAAGTTTATTTTAAAAAGGTTGGAATAATTAAATATTGAAATTAATATGATTTGTAATTGATTTAAAAACGATAAAAAAAAGTGGTTTCGGTTATGCAAGAATATAAAATCAAAGAGGAGCAGGTGATAACAAACTCAAATCCAAACGCACAGTCGAAATTACAACGAAACACGAATTTTTATTTAAAAAAAGAAAAACTCAAGCAAACATTTACAATAAGAGATATTAACACCAACAAAAACATGATTATTTTAAACAATAATTATTAACAGTATAAAAACAAATTCATAGCAATATTTTAACTTTTTACAAAAGTTATAAGCAACTAAAAATTATTTCTTTATTGCCTAAAAACTTATTCAACTTCTAAATTATAAACATACAATTCATCTTTAAGAAGATGGAGAGGAAAATAAAAGAATTTAAAACGCATTTTCTTAAAAACGCTTCTACTAATTAGCAATATTATTAAAGTTGTAATTTAGTTAATAAGCAAGTGAATTAATTTTTAACTGAAAATATGAAACTAAACTATTTTATTTTCCGTCGTCCCTAAAAACGAACCTTTAGCAACCAGACATGGAAAATTGGAATCTTGAAATTTACCAAAAATAGTACTTTTTACACTTTTTAGTACTTTTTAGACTATCGATTTTACTATATATTTATGTATTGACTTAACTTTGAACTAGAACATAGACCAGACTGTAGACTAGACTATAGTCTAAACCATAGACTACACTATAGACTAGACTATAGACTAGACTATAGACTAGACTATAGACTAGACTATAGACTAGACTATAGACTAGACTATAGACTAGACTATAGACTAGACTATAGACTAGACTATAGACTAGACTATAGACTAGACTATAGACTAGACTATAGACTAGACTATAGACTAGACTATAGACTAGACTATAAACTAGACTATAGACTAGACTATAGACTAGACTATAGACTAGACTACAGACTAGACTATAGACTAGACTATAGACTAGACTACAGACTAGACTATAGACTAGACTATAGACTAGACTATAGACTAGACTATAGACCAGACTATAGACTAGACTATAGACTAGACTATAGACTAGACTATAGACTACACTATAGACTACACTATAGACTAGACTATAGACTAGACTATAGACTAGACTATAGACTAGACTATAGACTACACTATAGACTAGACTATAGACTAGACTATAGACTAGACTATAGACTACACTATAGACTAGACTATAGACTAGACTATAGACTACACTATAGACTAGACTATAGACTAGACAATAGACTAGACTATAGACTAGACTATAGACTAGACTATAGACTAGACTATAGACTAGACTATAGACTAGACTATAGACTAGACTATAGACTAGACTATAGACTAGACTATAGACTAGACTATAGACTAGGCTATAGACTAGACTATAGACTAGACTATAGACTAGACTATAGACTAGACTATAGACTAGACTATAGACTAGACTATAGACTAAACTATAGACTAGACTTGACTAGACTATAGACTAGACTATAGACTAGGCTATAGACTAGACTATAGACTAGACTATAGACTAGACTATAGACTAGACTATAGACTAGACTATAGACTAGACTTTAGACTAGACTATAGACTAGACTATAGACTAGACTATAGACTAGACTATAGACTAGACTATAGACTAGACTATAGACTAGACTATAGACTAGACTATAGACTAGACTATAGACTAGACTATAGACTAGACTATAGACTAGACTATAGACTAGACTATAGACTAGACTATAGACTAGACTATAACTAGACTATAGACTAGACTATAGACTAGACTAGACTAGACTATAGACTAGACTATAGACTAGACTATAGACTAGACTATAGACTAGACTATAGACTAGACTATAGACTAGGACTATAGACTAGACTATAGACTAGACTATAGACTAGACTATAGACTAGACTATAGACTAGACTATAGACTAGACTATAGACTAGACTATAGACTAGACTATAGACTAGACTATAGACTAGACTATAGACTAGACTATAGACTAGACTATAGACTAGACTATAGACTAGACATAGACTAGACCTATAGACTAGACTATAGACTAGACTATAGACTAGACTAACTAGACTAGATAGCTATAGACTAGACTATAGACTAGACTATAGACTAGACTATAGACTAGACTATAGACTAGACTATAGACTAGACTATAGACTAGACTATTGACTAGACTATAGACTAGACTATAGACTAGACTATTGACTAGACTATAGACTAGACTATAGACTAGACTATAGACAAGACTATAGACTATACTATAGACTAGACTCTTGACTAGACTATAGACTAGACTATAGACTAGACTATAGACTAGACTATAGACTAGACTATAGCCTAGACTATAGACTAGACTATAGACTAGACTATAGACTAGACTATAGACTAGACTATAGACTAGACTAGACTATAGACTAGACTAGACTATAGACTAGACTAGACTAGACTATAGACTATAGACTAGACTAGACTATAGACTAGACTATAGACTAGACTATAGACTAGACTATAGACTAGACTATAGACTAGACTATAGACTAGACTATAGACTAGACTATAGACTAGACTATAGACTAGACTATAGACTAGACTATAGACTAGACTATAGACTAGACTATAGACTAGACTATAGACTAGACTATAGACTAGACTATAGACTAGACTATAGACTAGACTATAGACTAGACTATAGACTAGACTATAGACTAGACTATAGACTAGACTATAGACTAGACTATAGACTAGACTATAGACTAGACTATAGACTAGACTATAGACTAGACTATAGACTAGACTATAATCGACTATAGACTAGACTATAGACTAGACTATAGACTAGACTATAGACTAGACTATAGACTAGACTATAGACTAGACTATAGACTAGACTATTGACTAGACTATAGACTAGACTATAGACTAGACTATAGACAAGACTATAGACTAGACTATAGACTAGACTATTGACTAGACTATAGACTAGACTATAGACTAGACTATAGACTAGACTATAGACTAGACTATAGACTAGACTATAGACTAGACTATAGACTAGACTATAGACTAGACTATAGACTAGACTATAGACTAGACTATAGACTAGACTATAGACTAGACTATAGACTAGACTATAGACTAGACTATAGACTAAACTATAGACTAGACTATAGACTAGACTATAGACTAGACTATAGACTAGACTATAGACTAGACTATAGACTAGACTATAATCTAGACTATAGACTAGACTATAGACTAGACTATAATCTAGACTATAGACTAGACTATAGACTAGACTATAAACAGTACAGCAGTATTTTTCGGTATTAAAAAGTACTAAATTGTTCATGCCTGCTAGAAACCCTACGGACTAATGTTTGATTAACAACGCCAAAATATGTGGTATACCTTATGGCTTTTGAATTATGCTAAACATTAGAAGGGTTCACCTTTTCAGATTTATATCTATTATATCTGTAAATGCAGCAAATCTTTCTACAAAACAATATTAAGAAATTAATAATATAGTATTAACTAAAATCAAAAAGTATATACATAAATATTAAAAATACATTAATAAAAACCAAATAATAAAGCTTTCAACTGATCTCTTTTAACCAGAAACCTCTAAAAAAACTGGATTATAATCCAACTGGTTTTAAATTTAGGCTTTAATTTTAAGTTAACTAAAACTAAATGGCCATAGAAAATTAGTAGACTAAACACAAGGAATTACACAAAAAGATAAAGCTTAAACCCTAAAAGTTTTAACTTTTTTTAACAAAAAAAAAAAAAAAAAAACTCAAAATCTGTTTAAAAACATTCCTATAAGTATTAAAATACTCAATATATACAATTATTCCTTTAAATTATAAATAAAAATGAACTAAAAAAAATAGAATTGCATAAATAATAAATTAAGTTTTAAACATAAAACAAATAAAATATAAATCAAATAAAAACTCATATAATTACTTACCAAGTAATCACTACTACTTAATTTACATACATTACTATTATTTTAATTATCATTACTAAAAACATATTACTACCTACCACATTAGTAGTTGTATAACTATTTATAGTTTCTTTTAAGTGAAATTATAAACTTATACTACAAAAATATTTTTAAACTACAATTTGTCATATATAATTTTTCTAAAATCCTAAAAGTTTAATATGTAACTAGAACTTAATAAGTGAAACAACAACAGAAAAAAAAGTAAATGGTTGTGTTAATTTTTATTCTCATTTATGTGTTAATTTTTTATTATAAAATTAAATAGTAATTGAACAATAGTTGATAAAAGATAACAAAAGTAAAATGTATAAAAAAAACTTAAGAAGAAGCTCAACTTTTATGTTTTCATTTGTGCATGATTTTAATTTTTTGTAGACATGATAAATATATTATAACATTTTTAATAAAGAATATAAATAAAATATATAATACAAGTGTTTGTATTTATTTTTTTGGAAAATTAAAAAAAATGTAAGTCCCTTAGCCCAACTACGCTGAAAATTGTGTTCAGAGAATCGAAATTATACTCCCTTAGAAATGTCCACTTAAGTCTCTAGCTTTCCACTTTTTTTTTTAAATTTTTTGATTTGTGTAATTCATGTTTCTATCCCACTGTTTGTTTCATGTTCAGTCTGGCAACTCGCGCAAACTACACCTTAGAAAACAGCTGTTTAATTAAAATTATTTTTTTGTATTTTTGTTTATTATTTTCCATCGCTTTGTTTATCACATTACAATAACAATTTTCATTAATTTATACATTTTGGCAATTACAATTAATATTAGTCAACCATTAAAAATGGATCACAGCACAATTAGTAAGTAATTGACTAAAAATATAGAACAAATGTAAAAAAAATTCTATTCTAAATTCCAGTCTCATCAGCCGAAGAACAATTACGAAATTATGGTATCTTCTTAGATGGACATGATAAGAAATTAACAAAAATTCTCAATAATAACCAAGTAGCGAACAAAGAGCGTCCCCTACTAAGGGAACCCTTAATACAGATTGATTATGCTGCCCAGGAGGAAGAATTCATGTTGGTTAAGCTATTAGAATCGGAAAGAATGCTTAATAAGGTTTTACTCACCTTTGGTCATTTGTGTGCTGAAATTGATGATATCAGTCGGGAGGCCAAAGAAATGCAATTGAAATTTTTGTTCAAAGATGAAGAGTTGCTGGTCATTATGCAGAATATAGTGGAGGGAGAAAATGAAGGGGAATTACCTAGTAGGAACAGTAGTGTTAATAACAACAATAATATGGTCATGTTGAAAATGAGTGAATCCATGGAATTTTTATGTCAAATGCAATTTTTACTACAACGTTGCATATTGTTGGGCAATAATTTGCTACATCAATGTGGTGCTGTGTTGGCACATGAAAAAACTTCAACGGGAGTAGAAGTGAAGTTGGTGGTAAGTAAGAAGTAATGTGTGGAATTTGTTTTCAACAACTTTTTAGGAAAGTTGTGTGGCAGTTTGTTAAATTTTTTATAAAATTTATTTGCAATAATGTAAAAAATGTTAAAGATGCTTGAGAATCTAATGCAAATGTTCGAAGCTCTGAATGTGACGTTCTTTTAAAACAAATCGAACTCTTCTAAACATTGCTTATAACTAGTTCAATCGCAATTCAGTTTTAGTTTAGTTCTAGTTCAATTGCATTTCAGTTCCAGTTCACTATTAGTTCAATTCTAGTATACTTCAGCTCAGTTCTAGTTCAGTTCTAGTTCAGTTCTAGTTCAGTTCTAGTTCAGTTCTAGTTCAGTTCTAGTTCAGTTCTAGTTCAGTTATAGTTCAGTTCTAGTTCAGTTCAGTTCTAGATCAGTTTTATTTCAGTTCTAGTTCAGTTCAGTTCTAGATCAGTTTTAGTTCAGTTCTAGTTCAGATCTAGTTCAGTTCTTGTTCAGTTCTAGTTCAGTTCTAGTTCAGTTCTAGTTCAGTTCTAGTTCAGTTCTAGTTCAGTTCTAGTTCAGTTCTAGTTCAGTTCTAGTTCAGTTCTAGTTCAGTTCTAGTTCAGTTCTAGTTCAGTTCTAGTTCAGTTCTAGTTCAGTTCTAGTTCAGTTCTAGTTCAGTTCTAGTTCAGTTCTAGTTCAGTTCTAGTTCAGTTCTAGTTTAGTTCTAGTTCAGTTCTAGTTCAGTTCTAGTTCAGTTCTATTTCAGTTCTATTTCAGTTCTAGTTCAGTTCTAGTTCAGTTCTAGTTCAGTTCTAGTTCAGTTCTAGTTCAGTTCTAGTTCAGTTCTAGTTCAGTTCTAGTTCAGTTCTAGTTCAGTTCTAGTTCAGTTCTAGTTCAGTTCTAGTTCAGTTCTAGTTCAGTTCTAGTTCAGTTCTAATTCAGTTCTAGTTCAGTTTTTGTTCAGTTCTGGTTTAGTGCCAGGTCAGTTCCACTTCAAGTTTTACTTCAGTTCCACTTAAGTTCTAGCTCAGTTCAGTTTTAGTTTTCATCTTGTTCAATTCTACTTCAGAACCAGTTCAGTTCCAGTTATGTTATAGGTCGGTTCAATTTCAGTCTTAGTTCGATTCTAGTTCAGTTCTAATTCAGTTTTAGTACAGTTTTAGTTCAAGTTCAGGCTTTTTATAAAACCTTAACTATTTGTACTCATAAATTTTTTAAACTTTTTTATTTCCTCTATTTCTTTTCTAGCACATTTGCGATTATTTATCGAATTTGTTCATGAACATTTTAATTTTTGATGAGATTTTATATCGTTCCAATTTCGCTCGCTATTGGCCATCTTACAAGAAAACTATAGAAGCCATTACACAAAGTGGCAACTCATGGGATAATTGCACTACATCGGAACTTAATGGTTTAAGAAATTGTTTACAGGAATTGGATTTCCTATTTACCGGGTGTATATTTAGGGTAAGCCAAAATTTACAGTATTCCAAATAATATAACTAAAATTTACAAATAAAATTCCCAAACGTTTCGTCATGATTTCGAATTTTTGAGATTTGATTTAAAAATTCTTCGAACATAAGATGAAACAATTCTGAAAAATGTATAAAAATTTCAAATATTTCTTTTTAGCACTTTCTCGACAGTACGTTTAGCATTAAAGAGAAGATAGGACCCCAAGGAGTAGGTCATTTAAGCCAACAATTCAATGAATATCTAAAACTACAACTACAAGAAATCGACAAAACAAATCCCAGTGAATTGAACGCCTTTAGTGATACGTACAACATAATAAAACTCAACGCCTTTTGTGTAGTATTCCATGACTTTTGTGGACAAGTCGATACAAAATCCCTTAAACTTTTAATTGAATTAAATGGCAAACATCAAGCCATTATGCTTATTGGTAATATACCTTGGTCTTCAAGCGACTTTTTACGTAAAAATGCTTTAACTCTTATTAAAACACATGAAAAACTGCTAATGGATTTCCGACGACAACAGCAATTATTTCTACAACATCATGGTCAGAAATTGACAAAAGATTGTCGTTTATACTGCAGTGAAATCAGTCTGTGGGTATTAAAAATTGAAAAGACTTTAAGTTGTGGACCCTTCGAATTGCGTATCGAACAATTTAAGGAGCTGACAACATTATTGGTGCAGGGAATGCGTACTTCAGGCCATTTAAGTTATTTAATTAAGGGCATAGTAAATTCCCATGAAAATCTACAAATACCCATGACTAAGCAAACTTTATTATCGATTTGTAAACTTTTGGAAATGTTGAAAATGATTCAATTAAGTTTTAATGAACATGCCACAAACATTGCCAAAGTAATACATTGCATTTTACAGTATTTTCAATATAAAGTTTTGCAATTGATTAATGCCTGCAAGGTAAGTCAAATGTTTGTACACAATTTTAAAATTATTTCCCTAAAATCTCATCTTTTGATTATAGAAAAAAATCATCTCCTCCAAATTACGCGATAAAAGTGTTGATGCTCTAGCTGCTTTAAAAATAACCGAACGTTGTCTTCACGGACCTCCGAGTAAAGTTCGTATTTTGGTGGCTAAACTAGCTTTTGATGCTTCCAGTGCTAAATATAAGATTTTGTCAAGTGAACAACAAGAACGTTTTCGTAACCTTATTAAACGTATAGAATTGATAAGCGATTTACAGGATAACATACACGAAATGTGTGATACTTCATTCCTGTTTTGGCATCAATCGATTTTGCGAGCTTATCTTAAACAAATTGTAGATAAAAAATTAGACTTTAATTCATTCCAGGTAAGTGAGAGATTAAAATAGATCTTCAAGATAAAAATTTCAGTTCTAGCTCATTTCTAGTTCAGTTCAGGTTCATTTCTAGTTCAGTTCTAGTTCAGATCTAGTTAAGTTCTAGTTCAGTTCTAGTTCAGTTCTAGTTCAGTTCTAGTTCAGTTCTAGTTCAGTTCTAGTTCAGTTCTAGTTCAGTTCTAGTTCAGTTCTAGTTCAGTTCTAGTTCAGTTCTAGTTCAGTTCTAGTTCAGTTCTAGTTCAGTTCTAGTTCAGTTCTAGTTCAGTTCTAGTTCAGTTCTAGTTCAGTTCTAGTTCAGTTCTAGTTCAGTTCTAGTTCAGTTCTAGTTCAGTTCTAGTTCAGTTCTAGTTCAGTTCTAGTTCAGTTCTAGTTCAGTTCTAGTTCAGTTCTAGTTCAGTTCTAGTTCAGTTCTAGTTCAGTTCTAGTTCAGTTCTAGTTCAGTTCTACTTCAGTTCTAGTTCAGTTCTAGTTCAGTTCTAGTTCAGTTTAGTTCAGTTCTAGTTCAGATCTAGTTCAGTTCTTGTTCAGTTCTAGTTCAGTTCTAGTTCAGTTCTAGTTCAGTTCTAGTTCAGTTCTAGTTCAGTTCTAGTTCAGTTCTAGTTCAGTTCTAGTTCAGTTCTAGTTCAGTTCAGTTCTAGTTCAGTTCTAGTTCAGTTCTAGTTCAGTTCTAGTTCAGTTCTAGTTCAGTTCTAGTTCAGTTCTAGTTCAGTTCTAGTTCAGTTCTAGTTCAGTTCTAGTTTCAGTTCTAGTTCAGTTCTAGTTCAGTTCTAGTTCAGTTCTAGTTCAGTTCTAGTTCAGTTCTAGTTCAGTTCTAGTTCAGTTCTAGTTCAGTTCTAGTTCAGTTCTAGTTCAGTTCTAGTTCAGTTCTAGTTCAGTTCTAGTTCAGTTCTAGTTCAGTTCTAGTTCAGTTCTAGTTCAGTTCTAGTTCAGTTCTAGTTCAGTTCTAGTTCAGTTCTAGTTCAGTTCTAGTTCAGTTCTAGTTCAGTTCTAGTTCAGTTCTAGTTCAGTTCTAGTTCAGTTCTAGTTCAGTTCTAGTTCAGTTCTAGTTCAGTTCTAGTTCAGTTCTAGTTCAGTTCTAGTTCAGTTCTAGTTCAGTTCTAGTTCAGTTCTAGTTCAGTTCTAGTTCAGTTCTAGTTCAGTTCTAGTTCAGTTCTAGTTCAGTTCTAGTTCAGTTCTAGTTCAGTTCAGTTCTAGTTCAGTTCTAGTTCAGTTCTAGTTCAGTTCTAGTTCAGTTCTAGTTCAGTTCCTAGTTCAGTTCTAGTTCAGTTCTAGTTCAGTTCTAGTTCGATTCTAGTTCAGTTCTAGTTCAGTTCTAGTTCAATTCTAGTTCAGTTCTAGTTCAGTTCTAGTTTAGTTCTAGTTCAGTTCTAGTTCAGTTCTAGTTCAGTTCTAGTTCAGTTCTAGTTCAGTTCTAGTTCAGTTCTAGTTTAGTTCTAGTTTAGTTCTAGTTTAGTTCTAGTTCAGTTCTAGTTCAGTTCTAGTTCAGTTCTAGTTCATTTCTAGTTCAGTTCTAGTTCACTTTTGAATCGAAATTATATGTAACCCTTCAATTTTTTATATAATTACAGTTGAAAAGTTTTTTAACATTTTGTTGTCCCTTCATTACCTATTTTAGCATCTCATACAAGCCTCTACTGAATGTGGCAATACTTTAAATTTCCTTAATCTCAAAGATTTAAATCTTTCCAACGATTTACAAAAATCCACTTATGAAATTATACGTTCTGAGATTATTAGTAAGTTATGTGCTCAAATTGAAATATTTTTGCGTTTAGAAGTTCACGCCAATCTGCAAGTTGAAAAAATGAATCCCTTCGAACAGGGCATTAATGATTATAAGGAACTGATAAATGTTTGCCCTTTGCAAGTGAATGGCAATTATGTGATCTTAAAAGATCACATAGAAAATTATTTGAGTGCCATGTTTTATAACTTAACTACCATATCATTGCACGATTGGAAAACCTATGAAGAAATGAGACATTTAGCCAATTATCGTTTATTACTTCATCCCGTCGAAGATTATTTACCCAATCAAACCTTGGAACAGGGTATAGATATTTTAGAGATTATGCGTAAGATACATATCTTCGTTTCGAAATATGTTTATAATATGAATTCGCAAATATTTGTGGAACAACAAAGTTCGAACAAACATTTGGACACCATAGGTATACGACATGTGGCGAATTCTTTGAGGACTCATGGCACCGGTGTTATAAATACCACCGTAAATTTTACATATCAGTTTTTAAGGCAAAAATTCTATACATTTTCACAATTTCTATACGATGAACAAATTAAAGCTCGCCTAATGAAGGAGCTGAGATCATTTGCGGAACGCAAACAACAGGATGAATATCCTTTGTATCCCTATGAACGGGCAGATGCTTTTAATAAGGACATTCGCAAATTGGGTTTAGCCAATGATGGTCAAACGTATATGGATTTGTTTAGGAAAGTCATTACTCATGTTGGTAAGTATTTTATATTTGTTCTGCTTTGGTACAGTTCTGTTCCGTTCAATTGAGTTCTAGTTCAGTTCTCGTTCATTCTAGTTCAGTTCTAGTTCAGTTCTAGTTCAGTTCTAGTTCAGTTCTAGTTCAGTTCTAGTTCAGTTCTAGTTCAGTTCTAGTTCAGTTCTAGTTCAGTTCTAGTTCAGTTCAGTTCTAGTTCAGTTCTAGTTCAGTTCTAGTTCAGTTCTAGTTCAGTTCCAGTTCAATTCTAGTTCAGTATACCCTTACTGTTTTACTAACAAACTATTTTTATTGTAGGCAATGCCATGGGTTATATCCGTTTAGTACGTTCCGGCAGTATACATGCCAATTATAGCGCCAGTTTATATTTACCCAAGTTTGATGAAAACTTAAAATTTGTATCCCAATGTAAAGAGCAGCAATTGAGTGATGAGGTACAAATGGCTGCCGGCAATGTTGAAACAAATATTCAAAATTTAGCAAAAAGTTTTGCAGATAATACGGATTACTTCAAGGTAAGATTCCATTATATAAATTTCATAAACATTCAACACTTAAGAGGAAATAAACTCCTCCGCATTTATAACACAATTCTCACACAAATCTGGCCAGAAGTACGTAAATAAAAACTTAAACCAGACCTATAAGAGTTATATGTTTCTCTATATATATCAGAGTCAATATCAATTACATTTTCTACCAACTTCCATTATTTATATCTCTAGCTTCTCGTTGAGGCCTTTCAGCCCTTCTTTCGCAATCCTCACAATTTACACTTGCGTAATTTCTACCTAATTGTTCCTCCCCTCATCATGAACTATGTGGAGTATATGCTGGCAGTTAAATCTAAAATAAATAAAAAAGATCGCGAAGAAGCCGTTCTTTTCGATGATGGTTTTGCCGTAGGTCTAACCTATATACTAAAGCTATTAAATCAAATCGGAGACTTTAATTCGCTCGAGTGGTTCTCAACTGTACGTGAACGTTTTGAAGCTGAAAGACGAAAAATAAAAGAAATGTTATTGGAGATTAATAGTGTTGCCAATAATACGGCCGCTAGAACAAATACAAATACTGCAGCCAAACAGGCGAGTGAAAATGAAAAACTACAGCAAACATTAGTGCTAACGGAAAGACGTATCAATGCTCATCAAATGGAATATAATTTATTGCGTTATAATTTGTGCAGTGCTAAGATATTTTTTCAATAAGTGAAAAAAAGATGAAAGTAAGTGAAATTTTAAGCATGTTATTAAGTTTTGAACGATTAAAAAAGTTTATATTTATATTAAAAACTAATAATCTGTAGTTTTTGTACATAATGTGTAAAAATAGATCTCAAAATTGGACAATTTTTGATATAATTTGAAAAACTAATAAATACACAGTTTTCTAGCCAAAACTTCTGCATGGTCCAACAAATTATCTTTTCTATTTTGGATGACGTTAGCTTTAAAACATATTCAGGCCTGTCTCAGAATTTCATTCCGATCGAAAGTGGAATTATTTCCGTATTTTTGCTTCTTCTAAAAAAGAAAACGAAAAAATCTTTCGGAATGAAACCACTTTCAGTTTTTGAAGTGGAATTGATATTTGTATGTAATTAACGCTTTACTTAGTTTTAATAATAAGAACCTTTACTAAAAACATGGTTCTTGTTTTGATTAGCCAAACAGGAACAATTTTAAATGAAATCTATATAATTTTATTCATTTTTTGTCAATTTACGAAATAATTCGGAATTTGGAGAAGCTAAAACAAAAATGATCGGAATAATAATACGGAATTGAAACCATTCCGATCGGAATGTGTGACAGACCTGATTGTTATGAAATTGTATCTGCATTTAAACTAAAAGGTTTTTACCTGCCAGATTCATTATGACTATAAACATTTGTTTATAAACATTCTGTTTCCGGAAGTTTCTAAATGAGCGTTAAAATATCATTTGGTATGGCAACACTAAGTGAGAGTGTTTTTAAAAATACATGCTAATGATTATATAAGCAGAGCTTTCAAGAATGCGAAAAGATGTGGAAGTGCTTAATGTGAACATTTGCAGTGTTGGCCTTATTTCACGGTGATACTTTTTCCATCACTGGGTGAGCTGACTAGACGACTCACCACCGCCCTTTTTTGTTTCTTACACGTCGGTGGCAATGTTTGTACATATTCTGCCGGTCCATGCACAAGTGCTTTGCTCAAATATTCGAGCTATTCGAGCCCAATACATACCCCGACAAGGAAAAGGAAATCACTAGAGTTAAGTCAATCGAACATCAGACCCTTTTGATGTCATGAGCAATGCTTATTTCCCTAGATCATTCTCATCATCTAAATACTCATGCCAGTGCATTCCTTAACCTCTTAAAGTCGCATAACCATACTACTGTGATGACTCTGTTGTTTCGGTAACAGCACCTAGGGACGTAATCTCGCACCATCCGTCATTACTCAAAACTCAAACCCTCAGAATCCTTCTCATCCATCAGATTCAAGTATCCGATGTTACATCGCACACCAAACTCATACCCAATATTTTCATTATCATCTCAAATCCAACATTTTATTAATCCACAGACTTACCCTGTGATTTATACCGCATTAATATTTTAACCAAGCTTCCCACAGGATCGGAAGGAAAAAAGGTCTAGTAGATATTGATAAGTCAAAATAAGTCTATCAACTATTTCAGAAGTAAGCTTTGCATCATACCACATCAGACAACTATTGAATAATAGTCGACGAAAGAGCAAATGTACTTCTTAGGTAAGGTTAGGTTGATAGGAGGATGTATATACTACATCAGATCCAAAGAAATACACCTAGGCTACTGTCGGGTCTGTTGTGCACTTTCAATATTCAGAAACTCAGTTTCCTGGATGTAATTCATAAGGATTTTACAATCAGTATATTCGAAATAATATTACTCCCAAGATATTTGGATCTAATTTTGATGAATATCTGACAATGGAAAATAAAGAGCCTCAGAGGTTCACTGTCCTCTCCACATGATCTACAGTTGTTAACTACCTCGATTTCCCTTCCCTTTAAAGCTAATACATTTGTCTCTTCGTTGCCGAGTGGCCTGGTATCCATATGATGTAAACCTCATCTCTGGGAGGATATTCTGTTAAAATCCAATACGGTCTTAGATTTAACTTTTTCACCTGATATCTCGCTAATTGCCTTCTGGCTGTCGCTAAATATGTTAATCCCTGTTGGCGCTATATTTATTCTGTCTGGAAGCTAGTATTGTGATTAGGTAAACGGTTGTATATTTCTGTTTCTGGGTCTTCAATATAGAACCCCAGGCCCACAATATCCCCCAATTTAGAGCCATTCGTGTAGCAACTGATTCCTACGGGAATTTGCTCTCAGTGTTTCAAAGTTCCTAGATCTTTTGTGTCTGGTATGCGATCGGGCACGTCCGATGATTGTATATAGCCTTCTAATGTGTCCAGTATACATTCATGACGTGTCTTATAACCGCTTTTGGCTAGTTCGCCTAAAGTAATGAGCTCTTCGGCTGTAAGAGTCGCCTCATATCTTAAATATGTTTCAATGGGTCTAGCATCGTTTTCAGAGCATTGTTTCCAAGCTGTATGTACGCTGAACTGCCTGTAGTAGTTTAATATTATACCTTTTTTCCAAAGAAGTCCACCAGATTATTGAAACATGACATAGAATTGGTCTAATTACACTTTTATAACTATTGCCCCATTTCATGCGTATGGATCTCCTACAAAGCGCCCAGCACCGATGTGCCTTGTTAATCCTTTCCTCTATGTTCTGCCTCCATCTTAATTTCCGATCAAGTACTTAACTCTGTCGGTCACCGGTATCTTCTTGACCAGGAAACAGGGTTGTATATACCTAAAAATTTTGGTCTTTCTTGTGAAAAGACATATTTCCGACTTCGTCGTGTTAACATTGATACCTCTAGGTTGAGCCCAGCTTAAGACCATGTTCAGAGCCTTTCTACACAAGTTATGTGGATCCTTTCCCCTTGTGCCCCAATTTAGAGCCATCCGTGAGCAACGGAGTCCTGCGGGTATTTGCTCTAATGTTCATCTTGACCATGACATACTATCTGGAATGATTGTGTCTAGCCTTCTAATGTGTCCAGTATACATTGATGATATGTCCTATAACCGCTTTCAGTCAGTTCACCTAAAGTTATGAGCCGTTCGGCTGTAAGCGCTGCCTCATATCTTAATTACGTTTCAAGAGGTGGAATATCTAGCATCGTTTCCAAGCACTGCCTGTACAAGTGTGATATTATATCATTTTTCCAAAAAAGTCCAGCAGATTATTTAAACATAACATAGAATTGGTCTAATTACACTTGTCAGAGTACGACTAAGGTCTATGGTTCTCCTAAAATGCGCCCATCACCGATATGCCCTTTTAATTCTTTCCTCTATGTTCTGCCTCCATCTTAATTTCCGATCAAGGATTACACCTAAGTACTTAACTCTGTCGGTCACCGGTATCTTCTTGACCAGGAAACAGGGTTGTATATACTTCAAAATTTTGGTCTTTCTTGTGAAAAGACATATTTCCGACTTCGCCGTGTTAACATTGAGGTCTCTAGGTTGAGCCCAGATCAAGGCCGTGTTCAGAGCCCTTCTACACAAGTTATGTGGATTCTTTACCCTTATAAGTACAACGACATTGTCTAAGTGCTTTCTCTTTAAGGGTCCTTAGGAGGCTATTTATCGTGGTTACCCAGAGTAAATTAGACAATCTGCTGTACCTTGAACATCTTGCAGCTTATCCACCTGTTTCTTAGCATGTAGTTGATCCAGTAACGGAGCATCCGGTCAACATAAAACTGGTCTAAGGATTGGATAAGAGTATCTAATGTGTGTACGTTATTGAAGGCTACATCGATGACAATGCCTAATGCCAGTGTATACAGTTTGCTATCGAAGGACCCATCTATATAGTGGACAACTTCATTCAATTCCAATCTTCCCTTTACATAAGCATGCTATGCTGCTTATATTTGAGATCTCTGACTTTTAAAATCACCTATTTTCCTTTAAAGTTTATATAACTGATAACAATCGAAATGTTTAACAATATAAACAAAAATAATGAACCTACTAATATACATTAGGGTTCTATAGTTGAAACGAAAAGTCGACTTTTCGACTTTTCGACTTTTTGCATTTAGTTAAAAGTCGACTTTTCGACCTTTCGACTTTTTCCATTTTATGAAAAGTCGATTTTTCGACTTTTCGACCTTTTTCATTTATTTAAAAGTCGACTTTTAGACTTTTCGACTTTTAGTATTTTATAAATGGTCGACTTTTCGACCTTTCGACTTTTCGACTTTTTCCGACTTTTTTCGACTTTTCGACTTTTTCCTACTTTTTCCGACTTTTCGACTTTTCGACTTTTTTCGACTTTTCGACTTTTTTCGAATTTTTCCGACTTTTTTCGACTTTTCGACTTTTTCCGACTTTTCGACTTTTCGATTTTTTACGACTTTTTGACTATTTTCGACTTATTTCGACTTTTTTTCGACTTTTTTCGACTATTTTTTTACTTTTTTCGAGTTTTTCCGACTATTTTAGAGTTTTTGATCACTTTTCCACTTTTTTAAAATTTTCGACTATTTCCGACTTTTCGACTTTTTTCGACTTTTCGACTTTTTCCGACTTTTCGACTTTTTCCGACTTTTCGACTTTCTTCGACTTTTTTCGACTTATCGACTTTTTTCGACTTTCCGACTTTTCGACTTTTATTTACAAAGTCGACTTTTCGACTTTTTTCATAGACGATAGTCGAGTTATCGACTTTTTTGGAACAAAATAGTCGACTTCGACTTTTCGACTTTTTTCGACAAAAAGTCGATTGTTCGATTATTCGAAAGTCGATTTATAGAACCCTAATATACATTTTAGATAATTTCCGGTTAATTAATATTTTTGTATTTCACCCAGAGTTGCATTTATTAGATAATAATATAAAACAACAACCAACCTACAGTTAAGAGTGGCAACACTTGTCAACTAAAAACGTTGCGCATGCTCATTTAGTTTGATTTAAAACACAGGTGGTTAAAGGTTTTTTATGGTAAACCAGGTGGCTACATTGCTATTCTAACATGTTTTTATGTCTTTTTCTTTTAAGCCATAAAAAAACTGTTGGCTGATTGCCCAAAAAAAATATAAAACTCTCTTAGCTGGTTCAAAGCAACCAATCTAACCAACTTAAACATTCATTATATTTTCTTTCTTTCATTTTCGTGCGCTCGTTCGTTTATACGTTCGCATTCTACACTATTTTTGCGTGTACAATATAGACAATAATTTTTTTATTTTTATTTGGATTTTTTTTTTAAATAACTTTCACTTTGTGTGCACTTGGACGAAAATCATAAATTTTTTTCTTTATTTTTTTTTTTTAACTAATATTTGAGTTTGAGTGCTAGTACATACTAGTACTAGTTAATAAGTAATAATTTAGTTTTATTTTTTTGTGGAATTATTGTGTATTGAATGAAGAAAACAGAAGACATTGCAGTGTTGTTGTTGTGTGTGTGTTTTTTTAATACGAATTTGAATTTTTCCCCAAAACAAGGTCATACGCAAAACTAACAACTCTTATAAATTAATAATAAGAAAACGACAAATAAATAATAATAAAAAATATTTTTTGAATATATAAATAGAAACAAAAGAAAAAAAAACAAGTACAAAAAGAAATTAATACGTGATTAAAAATTTAATTAGTTTTATTACTAAAGAAAGGAAAAAGAATTATAAAAATTGTTTAAAGTGTAAGGTGTTGTTAAGTTTTATTCCAATAAAAAAAAAAGTTAAAGAAACCAGAATATTCCTACAAATTGGAAAAGTTTAACGACAAAAAATATTAATAAAAAATATTGGTGTTGGTTAATGTGTCAAGTTGAGCACGAACAGCAGCACCAACAAAACGAGTGGTGTGTGTTCACATTAATAAAAAAAAAATTATAAATAATATTTAAGTTTTCTTTAAACAACATATGTATTTGCATAAGAAAACGCCCACAACTTAAGACCAAAATAAGTAAATTAATTGAACGGTAAAACTAACCATCCAACTAAACATCCGTCCGTCTAACTATCAAACAGCCAAACAACATAAACGCCAGCCAGCTAACCAACCAACCAACAAAAAACTCAGCAGTTATTTAGTTGAGTTGTTGTTAAATGTGGTTATTTTTGGACGGAACAACTTAAACTATAACTTCAAATAAAACCCCAACAAGAGGAATAATAACTCTCTAAGATGACATCAAAATATGAACGCATTAAAAATGAGTGTCGTACTCGTAATACGCTCTGGGAAGATCCCGATTTTCCAGCTGTACAACAATCTGTTTTCTACTATCAAACACCACCCTTTACATTTCAATGGCGTCGCATATCCGAAATAGCTGATGCTCCAAATGCCTGTTTTGTCAATGAAACGGAAAATTTTGATGTTATTCCGGGTAAAATGGGTGATCGTTGGTTAGTTTCCTGTTTAGGTGTTTTACATTCTCTGCGCAATCTTTTCTATCGTGTTGTACCAGCCGATCAGAGTCTGGACAAAGCTAATGGTGTTTTTCGTTTTCGTCTCTGGTGGTGTGGTGAATGGGTGGAGGTTTTAGTCGATGATCGTTTGCCCACCATAAATGGCCGTTTGGCTTTCTTACAACCTCAAACATCAAATTGTTATTGGGCCTCTTTGCTGGAAAAGGCCATTGCTAAATTGCATGGTTCTTATGAGGCTCTTAAATATGGCACCCGTTCGGATGGCCTTAGTGATTTATTGGGTGGTGTTGTACAGTGCATACCCCTTAAGGCCACCAGTACTACAGATTTGGTAAGGCCTCAACAGCTGAAATCTCATTTGGATACCACTTGCATTGTCACCTGTATAGCTGCAACAAGTGCTGCCATGGCTCAGCATAAAAATACACCTGAACGTCTACCGAATGGCATAATACTCAATGTTAACTACAGGTGAGTTTAACTTTAGTTTTGCTTTTTTAATTCGCTTACAGTAGAGTAGTGTAAGGATGAATACTTAATAATAATAGTTATAATAAACTAGAAGAGGGATAGAAGAGACAGAAAGAAAGGAGAGAGAAGATACGACAAACTTGTCGTTGAGTAGGGATATAGTATGAAGAAACAGAACATTCGATAGATCAGTTAGATCGTTGAAATATGTTGAACCTAGAGTTCGGTTTTGTGCTGGACAGTTACAGAGAAGATGGCTAAACTTCTGCAGAAGTCATGCTATGTAAGACCAAGCCGTCTAGCATGGTTACCAAATTTATATTAAACTGTAATGAACGATATCAGATTACCTAGTGGTAGTTTATAAAGATCAAGGAAATAGGTAGTTCTATGTAGGTCCATATGAGGCCACTATGCCCTAGCGATCCAGCAAGTGTGCTCACTCGACCAACGGTCCTGATAATCAGACAAATTATTCAAATTTACGGGACATTTAATAGATGTGATACCTCAACGCATCCGTGTGTAAAGTCTACACCTTGACTATATATTAGAACTATTTGGAAATAAATATGTACGAGGGGATCCGCGAGATATCATAAATTCTTTAAGGGGTCAAAGTGAAGCAAAATACGAAAAGAACCCCTGGTATAAATACATACTTTGATCATACGGATATCGGCCTTAAAGTTGTGTTTTAATTAGAGAGAATCAAGTATAGTTTGGCCTAAAATTTTTCCAATTTTATAACCTAGAGCCATATGCCAAGCAATAAATCTCCACAAAGAGTTGAGGATTGTCTAAAAGGTATTACCTCAAATATCTGGCCTGATATTTCCGGGTTTTATTTGCTTCATTGTAGAGACCCAACTATGATCGAATTTTTAGCCCTATTGCAACCCATCCTTCTCTTCTTTTAGGTTCGAATGGTCGTAAGACCCGTTTTATTCTGTTAATTCCTATCCTCTCTTTGTCTACTTTTTGTACTTTTTGAATCGTAACCGACATATTACCGGCATCATATGAAATTATTCATAAGTCAAATAAAAGTGTAAAAACGAGAAATTTTTCTGTGGGCGCATATTTAAAAAAATTTATAATTTTATTTACATGGAACATAACAGACAAATGCAAGTTCAGACAATGAAAATCTTGATCTTTAAAATCGTTTCAGCTATATTCTACCGTATAATAGTTTTTTTTACTAGTGTAGGAGTTATTCTGTCTGTTAGTCTGATTATAAAATTCTTATTAGCAATTATTACTTTATCAATAGAAAACACATGTTGGTTGTTCTAATTTGAAAAATCACTTGTCTTGTTCAATGTCATTTATTAAATGATCAATATTCTATATAATTTAATCAATGTATTAAAAACAATACTTGATTCTTTGAATTCTTTTAAATGAATAGTTTTTTTTTATAATTTAATTGTAATAGATTTTACGCATAAATTATTAAATAATTTTTATTGATTAAACATAAGCAAGCCGCAAACGCAAAATAAGAAAATATTTCAAATAGTATTTGTTAATGAATTCTTCTATGTACTTTTATGAGAAGAATGCCACATTGGACTTAATCAGAATAGCGACTAAGAATGCCGTTTTAATTTAAACTAATTTTTAAATAAATGCATGAGATTATAGACCTTTCAACTCAAATTAGAAGTCGAGGACCTTAACTCCTTAACTAATCTTTGTTTGATTTTACCAAAATTGCTTAATAATTTATGAGCGTTTAACCTATATTAAAGGGAGACATTTGCATGCGGACTAAATAAAATCGATATTATTAAAAATGGACAGGTTTAAAGTATACAGGCTGACGGACAGGGATTTTTAATTATTCCTCTACACATACATATGTATTGACGATCGGTTAGCGATTTCTCAGCATTTGAAAATGGACCAGCATTTACAAGGATCCGTTATAGTCTTAGGTTTTGTTGGACAATGTAAAGGAAGCACCAGACTTATTGTACGAGAAAATAGATTCTGTATAACTTAAAAAGGGGTAATTTACAATGCGATTTTTTACTTTTGAATCTGATCATCATTGTTAGGCGTAAATAATGGCTGTCCAAAATGCTGGAAGAATTCTGTTAAAGAAAAGTTAGTTGGCTAGTTAGATAGATAGATAGATAGATAGATAGATAGATAGATAGATAGATAGATAGATAGATAGATAGATAGATAGATAGATAGATAGATAGATAGATAGATAGATAGATAGATAGATATAGATAGATAGATAGATAGATAGATAGATAGATAGATAGATAGATCGCTCGCTAGATCGATAGCTCGATAGCTCGATAGATAGATATATCGATCGCTCGCTCGCTCCTCGATAGCTCGCTCGCTCTCGCTAGCTCGCTTCGCTCGCTAGCTCGCTCGCTCGCTCGCTCGCTAGCTCTCGCTCTCTCGCGCTCGCTCCCTCTCGCTCGCTCCTCGCTCGCTCGCTCGCTCGCTCTCTCGCTCGCTCGCTCGCTCGCTCGCTCGCTCGCTCGCTCGCTCGCTCGCTCGCTCGCTCGTCTTCTTTTTTGTTCTTCGTTCGTTCGTTCGTTCGTTCGTTCGTTTCGTTCGTTCGTTCGTTCGTTCGTTCGTTCGTTCGTTCGTTCGTTTCGTTCGTTCGTTCGTTTCGTTCGTTTTCGTTCGTTCGTTCGTTTTTCGTTCGTTCGTTAGTTCGTTCGTTCGTTCGTTCGTCGTTCGTTCGTTCGTTTCGTTCGTTCGTTCGTTCGTTCGTTCGTTCGTTCTTTCGTTCGTTCGTTCGTTCGTTCGTTCGTTTCGTTAGTTCGTTCGTTCGTTTTTCGTTCGTTTCGTTCGTTCGTTCGTTCGTTGTTCGTTCGTTCGTTTCGTTCGTTCGTTCGTTGTTCGTTCGTTCGTTCGTTCGTTCGTTCGTTCGTTCGTTTTTCGTTCGTTTCGTTCGTTTCGTTCTTTGTTCGTTCGTTCGTTCGTTCGTTCGTTCGTTCGTTCGTTCGTTCGTTCGTTCGTTCGTTTCGTTCGTTTTCGTTCGTTCGTTCTTCGTTTTCGTTCTTTCGTTCGTTTTTCGTTCGTTCGTTCGTTCGTTCGTTCGTTTCGTTCGTTCGTTCGTTTTCGTTCGTTTCGTTCGTCGTCCTTCGTTCGTTCGTTCGTTCGTTCGTTCGTTCGTTCGTTCGTTTCGTTCGTTCGTTCGTTCGTTCGTTCGTTCGTTCGTTCGTTCGTTCGTTCGTTTCGTTTCGTTCGTTCGTTCGTTCGTTCGTTCTTTCGTTCGTTAGTTCGTTCGTTCGTTCGTTCGTTCGGTAGTTAGTTAGTTAGTTGGTTGCTTGGTTGCCTTGTGTGTTTCTTTGTCAGAGTTGCCGCGGCGCGCCGGTGGAAATTAAACCCTCAACCTACAGTCTGTGATCTAGTCGACAATGTATTCTATAGTATAGTTTATATCATATTCTGTAATTTGGTCTAACAGTCTTAACTGTAATTTAGTATCTAGCCTATAGTCAGATCTTCAATTTAGTCTCTAGTCTAGTCTACAGTCTACTACACTTGTAAAGTAGAGATCACATATACTTTTCCCATGAAGAACTTTAACATAAAAAGAACGCATTCAGGATCTCGGATCTTCCACAGCAGCTATGATTTTGTAAAATAACTGAAATAAAAAATTGGAAAAGTTCCAGAAAATTGGAAAATTAACAACGACAAACTGTTGATGCTATAAAACAGAGTAAATTCCAAGATTTGTAGTCGAACCTACGTACTTTTTAATCATTCAGAATATCAAATATTTAGAAATAAAAATGTGGACACTATTGGTTAGCAGTTTAAAAGTGATAATTATTAATAGAGCAAACATACTTTTATTTGAAAAGGTTAGAGGTTATTCATTAAAATTTTATTAAAATTAGTTTAAAACCAGTTTTGTCGTATAGAATTTTAAAGATTTAACAACATGAGATCAAGAACAAGAATTAAGAATTAAGAATGTATAAATAGAAAGTGAGAGTAATATAAAGAGGGTATTCACGATATGAGTTTGAAAACACCGTAAAAGTAATTTTAAACGTTTAAACGGCATGGGTTGCGGAAATAAGAGTAATTTGGAATTCTGAATGATAATTTGCATGGACTTGGTATATTTTTGTGTGTCAATTTATCACGCTAAAAATACGTTAGTAGTTATATGTTCAAAATAAATATCCGATATTCTCGGAAGATCAATAAACTAACTATTTGTTTTACCCATTTTAGACTCTGCTCACTGGATAAAGTTGAAACACTACTCGGTGACGCTGTACAATTGGTGCGTATTAAGGACCCTTTGGCATGTAATGCTTTTGCCAACAACAATGACTACGAAGGCGATTGGTCGGCAATGTCCCCAACATGGGAACGTGTCTCGGTACAGGAACGTGATCGTTTATTTGGCCAACTAGAAGTGGGAGAATTTTGGATGTCGTTTTTGGATTTCACACAAACTTTCTCCAGTCTAGAGGTCATTTACCTTGATGCTGACACAGCTAAAGATGAACTCACACTACAGGATCGACCGAAACGTTGGCAAATGAAAATGTTTCAGGGACAATGGAAACGTGGTGTTACCGCGGGTGGTTGTCGTAATCATGAATCATTTCACATTAATCCACAACTATTGCTAACCATACCGGAGAAACAGGAAATTGTGGTGGCCCTCAATCAACACACGGCAGTGGAACCAAAAGTTATAGGTTTCACTATGTACAAATTGAGCGGTGTGGCGGGCTCTAAGGTTAATCAAAAGATCACCGAATGTTTACCCAAAGAATTTTTCAAAACCCAAGTTAGTTTTCTGAATTCGGATTATGGCAATACCAGACATGTGACTTGTCATTGTCAGCTGGAAGTGGGACAATATGTTCTAATGCCCACCACCTATGAACCGGGAGAAGAAACTAGTTTTACTGTCAGAATATTGGGTACAGTACCCTTACGTTTATCTCTCTTAGAAACTCAGACATTAATGCTGCTCGATCCCTTCCCAGTGCTTAAAAATGAAGCCGATTCTACGAAAATTAAAAACGTGTGTCAATATGAACCCGTATTTATGCAATTGGCCGATGAAAATAAAACCATTAATTGTTTTGAACTGCATGAGTTATTGGATGCCTGTCTGCCCAATGATTACATTAAAGGTTGCGCCAATATAGACATTTGCCGCCAGGTTATCGCTTTACAGGATAAAACCGGCACAGGTCGTATTAATTTTTTACAGTTCAAAACTTTTATGGTGAATTTAAAGTCCTGGCAGGGAGTATTTAAAATGTACACCAAAGAAAAAGCCGGCATTTTAAGAGCCGAACGTCTGCGCGATGCTCTCTATGATGTGGGTTTTCAGTTAAGCACCGATATTATGAATTGCATAATGCAACGTTTCATACGCAAAGATGGCACTTTACGTTTAAGTGATTTTGCTTCAGCAGTTTTACATTTAACGGCAGCATTCGATTATTTCCAGCGTAAAGATCACAATCAGGATAATGTCATTGAAATCGAAATGTCCGATTGGATTAAATGTGTTTTGCGTTGTTAACAGTAAATTTACAACATGTTCGCTATATATATATATACACATATTCTATAGATCAGGTTTGATTGTAGACAAATTATTGCAAATAAGTTGAAAAGTTTTGAAATTATTTAGTTGTTAAGAATCTCTATGGACCAACACCAGTAAGATGTCGTTTTATTTAGTCTAATTTATTATTTTTATTTTATTGTATTCTTATATTATAATTTAATATTTATATATTTAATTATTACTTATTTAAAATCTCATTTAAAAACAAACAAACAAATAAATAGTCTTGTAATTTTCAATTATTAATTGATGTACATCTTTTTAGTTTATAATTTTAAAAACATACTTGTGTGCTATATTTAGTAACATACTAAATTATTTAGATTATTTTTTATATATATATTTTATTTAAGTATAAACTTTTTGGTTCTAAAAATTATTGTTACTTTTACATTAACACAAATGTTTATGTTACTAATTAAGAAATTAATACAAATTTTGATTAAAATTACAATTTTATGTAGATCCGGAAAACTTTTTTTAATATCTGACACAAATGCGAAAATAACACGTGAAAATAAAAGATTTTCGAGTTTTTGTGCATTTTTGAGATTCTACAACAGCGTGAGGATAATTTTTATGTAAAATTTGTTAAATATAGTTCAATTTGACTCTAAAGTGAAGTCTTAAACTTTGTTATATCTTCTGCCTTTTTGGAGATATCTTAACCTAGGTTTAGGTTGGGTTAAGAAGGGTTATACTCCATAAAAACGGTGCATATCCACCCAGTGATTCTCTTCAAAAAGTGAGGATTCATAAACAGAAAACAAAAGAAAACACACTACCATTGAAACCAGAGAAGAAGGTAAAAGTATAGATATAATTAACAAGTCAGTGCCCCAAAGAATAAAGAGATAAAAGGAAAATCTACGTCCCCCTATAAAGCCCAGTCGAAGAAGTGACTAATGCCCTTGACAAAACCTAGTAAACTGGGTCAGGGTCCCCAATTTCGTCGTGAAACCTACTCCCTAGCCATTTAAGCCTGAGACTCTGTATCCTAGGACAGTAGCAAATTATATGCTCGATCGACTCCACTTCTCATCCTTGCATAACCTACAATAGTCCGGTGTATTGCTATCCCACTTACTGACAAAGGCCCTAACTGAGCAGTGCCCCGTTAGACTGCGTCTATCCAGTTCTATTAGTATTTTGTTGGCATCTATATCAACCTTAACCTAAAACTTGAAACAATAGTTAAAAAAACACCATATTGCCGATATCTCAGTATATATGCACAAGAGATTTCGAGAAGTTTGTCCTAAACAATTTTATAACAAACATGACTTTGCGCTGAAAATACGTCACAAATATCAACAAAAACCGGAGTTTTTCGAACTTTCTCTAAACTCGCCTGCATAAGGTACTACATCCGATTCTTGTAGATTTGCGGAGAGTTTGAAGAAGTAAAAGTTAAACAATAGCGACAATAGAACTCCACATTGGGATGTACGCACTGTTGCCCCCATTCGGCATTACGCTTACGCTTCCTTACTTAGTAAAGGAAAGATCGAAAAAATGCATTCTGATTTTCTGTTGGAGGATTTATTTATGGGATAGGATCAATTATGAGCCGTCCTCTTAAAATTTGGTAGAGGAATTCGTTTCTTATAATATATATCGTTTGTGGCGAATTGTATATGTCATCGGTATATTGGTACTTTTAAGCTAGTTGTGAACTTTCAACTCATTTTCTAAATGGGGTCCTTATATCGGGAATATAGTCAATTATTGACTGATCCTCCAAAAATTCTGCAGAGGAAACTTATTTGTATTATTTCATTTTCATACCTGTACTTTTATAATGTCATTTAATTTAGAGTCATTTTCGAAAAGGGGATCTAATAGGAAATCTAAAATAGGGTCTCCTACGGACCGATCGTCAAAATATTTAGGAGACAGATTTTGCGAATATTTTGAAGAAGGGGACCTCCATTATGGTCCCTATTGTACTTTAACAGTCCTAACAGACGTACATGAATAGATTGTCTTAGAAAATCAGATATATGCGGATAAATCGGCAAATCAGGCCATTTCGTCCTAGAAAATCAGATATAGGCCGATAAATCAGCAAATAGGGCAACATTGGATCGCCTTGTTTAACTCCAGGAGGTTTTAGGCCTTTGTATCTAAACTCTTCAAACTCTACTCGTTATATAAACGGTTCTGGAAACAGTTCTTGAAACAATGATTTTTGTTCGAATTTTATCACCTTCTAGGGTAACTTTAGACAATAAATGCACTTTTTATAAAACAATTCTGGAGATCGGTCTATTTTCAGCAATTTTTGTTTGAAATTGTTATTGTATGTTTGAGATAAATCCCACAAAAGTCCTAATATATTATTATCCAATCGCCAATACTTTCTATTCAGAGACTGTTAACAAGGACTATACGAATCCAGCTGATGAAATTTAATACTTAATTTTTTCAATTCCTTAGAGATTTGTTATTGCACTATAATGTTACAGAGACCAAGCCTTAGAAGTAAGTTTAAGTTAAGATCTTATTCAATATTAATTATACATATATATGTAAGACATTCTAAAAGGTTCTATATTATTAAAACATGTTTTGGTATCAAAATTTATCTAAATATAGCACACATTTTCTTAAAGGCCTAGTGCCCAGATTGTATATTTTTTTATTTAAATTCCTTAAATTTAGTAAAATTTTTGAGACAAGTACATAATTTTAAATAACCATTGTTAAAATATTCAATTTTTATAAAAATGCACACACATTACACAAAAACAAATTAATTTAAGATTAAATTAAATTTATTAAAAATAAAAAATAAAACTAAATTTTATACAAACAAATTAAAGAAAAATGTTGTTAAATTAAAAAGAACTTAATTTTATAAATTACAAAATTATCAAATAATCTAAAAAAAACTAATGACAACCACATTCCTTGGCCACACTTTGAGGGTATTTACTTAAGTTAACACTATCCTCATTGAGATAATGCAATATAGATATGGAACCCAAAACCGTGGGTACGCAACAGGGTTTGGGTAGATTGGGTTGTTTTAAATGCATTAACGTTTGCACTATGGCATGATTGGTGGCATTCATTTTGGAACCCAAAGGAAAATTGCACTCACCGCCACAGAAATAGGCTTCGAATTTCTTGGGTGCTATAACCCAATTGTGCATGTGTAAATCTTTGAAGTCCAAGGTGAAATTTAAACGTTCACAGGTTTTGGGCAATTTATAGATTTCCTGAATGGGTGGGGGAGGTGGCATATAGAAATCGGCTTTACGTTTACGTTTGATAACATCACGTTTGAAACGTAATTTCTGGATTTTAGTCATCAATTCGGGACCATTAAAGTAGCCAATAATAAAAGGCTGCAGATCAATTGTTTCCTCCGAGTAATCCGGTTTAACCAAACCCAAATCACTGGCTAAAATTTCCACAGTTTTAGTTTCATGAGCAGGATTCTCTATATCCAAAGTGACACCCACTAGCAATTCGTTAATGCGCCCTGGTTGTGAGGATTTCTGCTGCAGCCAACGATTTAATATGCGGGTCATATTAAACTCCAACCAACCTTTGTAGGTGGTCGTGGTATTAATAGAGCTAAGAATTCTCAAGGCTCCCGTATATTCTTTGCGATACATAACTCTTTGATATACAGAAATGGTGGCCTTTTGTGTATCGGTATTTTGCACATATTTACCCAAACTAGGTTGTTGATAGATTCTTAAGGCTGAATGAACAAGTTGCAGATCTCGAGGTACATCGTTTGTATTGAAACCTATTTGCATATCACTAGCAATAGGTATATCGGTTATAAGTTTGCTATTAGAGTTTAAAATTTCTGAAAAAGGAGAAAAACACAATTAATAAACTAACTCCTTTTGTAATTCACCCATTCACAACTTACTTTTACTTGAAAATGTTATAATATTATTACACTTTTCAATTTCCATGCGATCGAATTTCGTTATAAAATTCTCTTCTCTCAAAGCTCTTCTTTGCCTTCGACCTTGAGTCAAATGTTCTCGTACATGATCCAATTCTGCTTCGTTTTCGGTAATATCATTATACACTTCCAGTAGAAATTTCGAAGCAGAATTTTTCAACGAAGGTTGTCTCTTCAAACGTTCATGATGATTGTCTCCCAAACCCAACAGATCCACCATATCAAATTCATACCCATTAGGTTGTTTTATCTCGGTATGAAGGCTATGCATATGTTCCGGTGATTCGTATAGGAAATCTGTTTTAATATCACTTACTTCTTGGCTAAAAACTGAGACCACCGTTATTATTAATACGAAATTTAAAATAAACATTTTTTAAACAATAGTTGTTAACACTTTGCCAGTTAAATTCCAATTGTCTGCTTTATGGAAAATGTTTACACGTTTTATACCCTCATATTTGTCCTTAAGGATCCTTTTTTTAACTACCTGTTTTACTTTATCTTATCTGATATTCAATTGGATAGAATTTTATTGTCACCAGAGGATCTTAGTTTGCATTATTTTTATGATTACCTGTCTATTACCTGATGTTTACTTTGAGCAACATGATGTAAGTGGTCTTATCGCACTCTGATTCCTAGAATTTACTAATTTGATTTCATTTACAATTGGCACGTGTTTATTGTGATCCTTTGGCGAAAAAGGTTGAAAGGAGGAAAGAGGGAGGGGAAGGCAGGGGGAAGGGGAAGAGGCAAAAGAAGGGAAGAAAGCAGAAAGCAGGAACACAAGGAAGACGAACGAACGAACGAACGAACGAACGAACGAACGAACGAACGAACGAACGAACGAACGAACGAACGAACGAACGAACGAACGAACGAACGAAACGAACGAAACGAACGAACGAACGAACGAACGAACGAACGAACGAACGAACGAACGAACGAACGAACGAACGAACGAACGAACGAACGAACGAACGAACGAACGAACGAACGAACGAACGAACGAACGAACGAACGAACGAACGAACGAACGAACGAACGAAACGAACGAACGAACGAACGAACGAACGAACGAAGAACGAACGAACGAACGAACGAACGAACGAACGAACGAACGAACGAACGAACGAACGAACGAACGAACGAACGAACTAACGAACGAACGAACGAACGAACGAACGAACCGAACGAACGAAACGAACGAACGAACGAACGACGAACGAACGAACGAACGAACGAACGAACGAACGAACGAACGAACGAACGAACGAACGAACGAAACGAACGAACGAACGAACGAACGAACGAACGAACGAACGAACGAACGAACGAAAACGAACGAACGAACGAACGACGAACGAACGAACGAACGAACGAACGAACGAACGAACGAACGAACGAACGAACGAACGAACGAACGAAAAAAAACGAACGGAAACGAACGGACGAACGGACGAACGAAGCGAGCGAGAGCGAGCGAGCGAGCGAGCGAGCGAGGAGCGAGCGAGCGAGCGAGCGAGCGAGCGAGCGAGCGAGCGAGCTAGCGAGCGAGCGAGCGGGAGCGAGCGAGCAGCGGCGAGCGAGCTAGCGAGCGAGAGCGAGCGAGCGCGAGCGAGCTAGCTACCGAGCAGCGACCGAGCGAGAGAGGAGAGAGCGAGCGAGCGAGCGGGCGAGCGAGCGAGCGAGCTATCGAGCTAGCGAGCGAGCGAGAGCATCGAGCTATCGATCGAGCTATAAGCGATCTATCTATACCTACTATCTATCTATCTATCTATCTATCTATCTATCTATCTATCATCTATCTATCTATCTATCTATCTATCTATCTATCTATCTATCTATCTATCTATCTATCTATCTATCTATCTATCTATCTATCTATCTATCTATCTATCTATCTATCTATCTAACTAACTAATAACTAGCTAAAATGTTGTTGTAACTTTTCTTAGGTTAGGAGATATGAAGTTACCCCATTTTTACCCTTTGTTTGAATTTCCTAAATTCCTTATTGGATCTATTTGACTGGTGACCAATCTCCTGCTCTAATTTCAACTTTCTAGCTTCAATATGTCAATGGAGGTATTGCTTTGATATATACTGTGAAAGATTTGTATCTTCCTCATTGAAGGGTGTGATCTCCTCAGTTCTGCGATATTAGCAGTATCGAAAAGTGTTCTTTCTTTTTTAGAGTTAATACTGTAAAACCTCAAATTCTAAGTTAGTGTGAAATTTTCATTATATATTACCGTTATTACTCAATTATAACATTATTTTTCTAATTTCGAACCCTGAATAATTTCTAATGATAACAATATGATATGGCAGCACTAAACCGCAATGATAACAAAAACAAAACACCGAATAAACAATAACAAAATAATAAACGTAAAGAAACTACAAAATTTGTTATCTAAATAGAAAAAAGAAAGAAAACACAACCCACTTTACCGCATATTTAATTAAAATAAATTTTATTACTGCAAACGGAATAGTAAGCAGTTGCAATTTGGACAACGACCAAGTGAGTTGGTTTTATTAGCAAGTCGCTGGAAGCAAACGAGCAACAAAAGAAAATCGAGAACAATAAACTATAATCTACAATAGAAGGCGAGTTCAAGATAAAACTATAATAAACAAAAAGTAAGTACATTTTAGCTAAAATACAATAAAAATAAAATAAATTACGGAGAAAGCTTATAAAATATATATTTTAATAATCCTTTGTAACAGCTTAACATGGCCACTTTTCAAATGGGACCCGAAACTCATGCCGTACCCATGGCTTTGTTTCGTAAAAATCGCGAGAAGGTATGTAACGCTTTAAGAGAAAGCAAGGCAGTGGAAAAGGGATCCTTTGTTTTGTTGGAAGGTGGCAAAGATGTCAGTTTCAATGATACCGATATCAACTACAATTTCCGTCAAGAATCCTATTTCCAATATTTGTTTGGTGTCAAGGAACCCGATTGTTATGGTGTTTTAAATGTAGAGAGTGGTGAGTCTGTTTTATTTGTACCCCGTCTTCCCGAGGAATATGCCACCTGGATGGGTCGTCTATTAAGTTTGGAGGAATTCAAAGCCATGTATGAAGTTGATCGTGTTTTGTATGCCGATGAATTGAATGCTTTCTTTGAAAAGGCTGCTCCCAAATTGATTTTAACTTTGAGCGGTTTAAATACCGATAGTGGTTTACGCTCCAAGCCTGCCTCCTTCGAGGGTATTGAGAAATTTGTGGTCAATTGTGATATTTTACATCCCATTATTGCCGAGTGCCGTGTTCTCAAGTCACCCGAGGAAATTGAAGTTTTACGTTATGTGGCCAAGGTCTCTTCAGATGCTCACATTAAAGTCATGAAATTTATGCGTCCTGGTCGCAGTGAATATGAAGGCGAATCTTTATTCTTACATCATTCCTACTCGGTTGGTGGTTGCCGCCATGCCTCCTACACTTGCATCTGTGGTAGTGGTGTTAATTCAGCTGTTTTGCATTATGGTCATGCTGCTGCTCCCAATGACAAAGCTGTTAAGGATGGTGATATGTGTCTCTTCGATATGGGCGCCAATTATTGTGGCTATGCTGCCGATATCACTTGCAGTTTCCCAGCCAATGGCAAATTCAATGAAGATCAAAAATTCATTTACAATGCCGTCTTGGCTGCCCGTAATGCTGTTCTAAAAGAAGCCAAAGATGGTGTTTCCTGGGTAGATATGCATCGTTTGTCTTGCCGTGTTTTGTTGGAACATCTCAAGGCTGGTGGCATGTTGCAGGGTGATGTAGATGAAATGTTGGCTGCCGGTTTGGCTGGCACATTCCAACCTCATGGTTTGGGTCATCTTATTGGTCTCGATGTCCATGATGTAGGTGGCTATTTGCCCGACCAACCAGCACGCCCCACTGAATCCTGGATTAGTAAGTTGCGTTTTGCACGTACACTTAAGGATGGCATGTATGTTACCGTTGAACCCGGCTGTTACTTTGTCGACATTTTGATGGACAAAGCTTTGGCTGATCCTAAACTTAATAAATTCATTGTCAAAGAAGTCTTTGAACGTTTCCGTAACTTTGGCGGTGTACGCATAGAAGATGATGTTCTCATTACCAAGAATGGCAATGAAAATTTCGCCATTGTGCCACGTACCGTTGAAGAAATTGAAAAGTGTATGGCTGAACGCGATTGAAAAGGAGCAGGAAATTTCTACTTCCAAAAATATATATAAAAAATGTTTAGAATATCAGGAAGTTAAGAAAGTTTTTAAATAACGTGTATATAATCATTATAAGTGTGTATATTATATATTGTTGATTTTTTTATATATATATATTAAAGTATTTTGAAAAGTATTTATTATGCTTTAACTATTGAGATAACCATTCTTGTGGATAAGTTTATTTTGAATGAAAATCTATAAATTATACAAAGATTAGATTGTAAACAAACAGATTTAAGGCAGCAACAGCAAATATTGTTGTAAAATTCTAGAATATTGTGCTTTTTTGTGATAAAAAATGGAATGACGTCTTTTAGTTAAAGTGTTTAGTAGGCTGGTCACAATGCATTTATTGAATGGTTGTTTTTACTTTTTAATAATCTACGTACCGAAATTCCTATATCAAGGTGGTCCGGTAGTTAGAAAAACGGCCGAAAAAGGACTTAAACTATTTCTTTAGAATCTAGCCAATTCACGGACTTAAACACATGATGCCTTAAGGTGACCGCGCGTTTAAACATGCTCTTCAAAGATATCTTATAATAAATCTTTTCGGTTTAATTAAATAAACAAAATCCCTAATCCTCTGAGTAAAAAATTTAAAGATTTTGGAATAGATATTACCGTTAATTCATGTTAAGAATTTCTTAACTAAAAACTTTTCCATAATCCCTAACCTGCACAATTTCTAATCGTGTGGCAACATTACCATAAAAACTAACACGCAAAAACTATAGTATACTTTTAGGATGAAATAAAAAATACATATTAACACTTCGACTCAAATAATCGTCAGTCTATTCCATAGTTTGCGCTGATGTTCGTAACCCAAATAAGGATCTTTTCCCTCACTAAATCCATATGTTAGTCTATGTAAATCTTCTATTAAACTATAGATATTTGGACCAAAGACCGATCCTATAGAGATCAAACAACCAGCCCACCATGGGTCAATTGTAGGATCAATATTTCTTAGTGTTAGTGATGTAGGGTATAATTAGTTGATAATTTAATTAAATAATTAAATTTAAATTTCCGAACATTTCAGACTGATTCTACTCTACATTCTCTACATTTGTGGGTTCTGGACTTGACTATTGAAATATTTTGATAGCCAAGACAAGAACCTCACATATTAGAGAAACCTTGATATGAAATGAAATTTCGTTTTTATGAAATATTGGACCTAGCTCAGTTCTCAAACCATTTTCCGATTCAGCATAGCATTTTTAACAAAAATGAAGATTAAAAGTTGGACCCTCTTAACATTTCCAATACAAAATTGTAAAGTTTTTTATAACTTTATTCCATTTTTTTTAGCAGAAACAATTATCATTATTTTTTTTATTATCTTTCGTTAAACTAAAGCTATTCAAACAAAAAAAAAAAAATTCCAAAAGCGGCCTTCTAAACTACAATCCGATGCGTCCCGGTGTACGTCTAGGAGTTGTGACACCCGGTGTAGCAATTTCTTGTTTATTAGCCAATTGTTCTTCCCTCTGAGCAGCCTTGATTTTACGTTCTTCAATTTCCTCTTGAGCCAAACGCATTTGTGTTTCCATTTCCTTAAGATGTTCGGCAGCCTGTTTCTTTTTCTCACGACCACTGCGACCCGTTTCTTTGACGGAAAAGAACATAGGACCCAATTCAGCCAACCAATAACCATCGACAGCGGTGGCACATTGCATATACTCTTTGGCTGTCATAACCAGTTCATGATAGACCACATAGTCGGGGGTGGTGCCCAGGCCATACAAGGCCGAAGTGGGATGTAAATGACAAGGCATGCCGGTACGTAAATTAACATATTCCCCTATGCCCTTAAGACGTGCTGCCTGATAGAAATAGGCAGAACAAATACATTTACGTATAATATCCCAATCGGTGCCGCATGATTTCACATTGAGTTTTTGCTGAATCAAAATGTCTTTGAGCTGTTGGCGTACTTCACGTACCTTACGCATGGCCTTGACATGTATGAAATGTTCATTGCACCAGTTTGAACTATAGCTGTGGGGGGTTAAATGAGAAAATGAATAAAAAAAATTAAAATGATAGTTAAATAAGTGTTTAGTTTTGTTTATTGTTATGCTTTGTTGTAGGCAACTTACTTGTTTTGTTTCCACTGCAGATAGACATTGAGATAGGTTAAATGATCCGATTCAGGTACTTGAAACTTTTCTCGTACACCATCTGCCTCCTCCTCACGACCTTTTGGACGGTAAAATATTGAAGGCACCGACAACATGGAGACTAAAGTGATATAATAAAATAGTTATAAAAATGAAAATTTGCTATATAACTTCCTATGTAACTCACCTATAATCAAAACTTCTGCACTGCATTCCATTTGACAGGACACTATTAACATTTGACACTGCGGTGGATCCAAAGGAAACTCAGCCATTTGTCTGCCTAAGGGTGTCAAGGCACCCGTATGATCTAAAGCACCCAAAATCCATAATTGATATAAAGAATTCAAAATATTATCCTGAGGAGGAGGATCCATGAAATGAAATTGCAATAAATCCACAACACCCAAAGATTTCAGCAGCAAAACGGTATTAGCCAAATTGGTACGTTGTATTTCAGGTACCGTCAAGGCCAACAAATCTTCTTTATACTGACGTTGTGTATACAAACGATAGGCCTGCCCGGGACCAGTACGTCCGGCACGACCGGAACGTTGATTGGCATTGGCCTGGGATATGGGATAGATTTGTAAAGCATCCATACCAATACGTGGATTATACACCTTTAATTTACAATAACCCGAATCAATAACATAAATAATACCATCCACTGTTAGAGAAGTTTCCGCAATATTAGTGGCCACCACACATTTACGCAAACCTTCAGGGGATTTTTGGAAAATTTTCGCTTGTAAATCGGAAGGCAGTTGTGAATATATTGGCAGTATAGACAATTCGGGAGCATTTTCTATTTCCAACAAACGTTCGGCCAACACTTCACATGTCACCTCAATATCCTCCTGACCCGGCATAAAAATCAACATATCACCTTCGTTGGGTGTTAAATGAATTTGTAGAGCTTGTTTTACAGCCGCATCTACATAATCTTCACAAGTATTTTTACTAAACATAACATCAACGGGAAAGGTACGTCCAGGTATAGTAAATGTGGGCACATTACCAAAGAAAGTGGCAAATTTCGTAGAATCCATAGTGGCAGAAGTAACAATTAATTTTAAATCACGTCGCCTGGCAACAATCTAGGGATAAGAAAGAAAACAATATAATTATAAGAAGACATTATTAGCTCATTATCAAAACTAATTGTAAGTAATTGAATCATTCCAGTTTTCTGCTAGTAATTCTTAATTTAAAGGAGCAAATAGGTCAAGGAAATTTATTTATATTATTGAGTTTGTTTTTTTTTTCCTTTAATTAAGGTCCTTTCTAAGAGTAGCTGTGTTATCTCTTTGCATCTATTAGCTCTTAAAATCAAAGTGGTGAAATATATAGAATTTCGCCATATTGCTCAAGAGAATTTAACTAATTATTTATTTATAGACTAGACTATAGACAAGTCTATATACAATTGTATATACTAGACTATAGACTAGACTATAAACTAAACTATAGACTAGACTATAGACTACACTATAGACTACACTATAGACTAGACTATAGACTAGACCATAGACTAGACTATAGACTAGCCAATAGACTAGACTATAGACTAGACTATAAACTATAGACTAGACTATAGACTACACTATAGACTAGATTATAGACTAGACTATAGACTAGACCATAGACTAGACTATAGACTAGACAATAGACTAGACTATAGACTAGACTACAGACTAGATTATAGACTACATTATAGAGTAGACTATAGACTAGATAACAAACTAGACCATAGACTAGACCATATACTAGACCACAAACTAGACTAGACTATAGACTAGACTATAAACTATAGACTAGACTATAGACTACACTATAGACTAGATTATAGACTAGACTATAGACTAGACTATGGACTAGACTATAGACTAGACTAGACTATAGACTAAACTATAGACTAGACTATAGACTAGACTATAGACTAGACTATAGAGTAGACTATAGACTAGACTATAGACTAGACTATAGACTAGACTATAGACTAGACTATAGACTAGACTATAGACTAGACTATAGACTAGACTATAGACTAGACTATAATAGACATAGACTAGACTATAGACTAGACTATAGACTGATTATAGACTAGATTGTGACTAGACCATAGACTAGATTATAGACTAGACTATAGACTAAACTATAGACTAGACTATAGGACTAGACTACAGACTAGATTATAGAATACACTATAGAGTAGACTATAGACTAGATAACAAACTAGACCATAGACTAGACTAGACTATAGACTAGACTATAGACTAGACTATAGACTAGACTATAGACTAGACTATAGACTAGACTATAGACTAGACTATAGACTAGACTATAGACTAGACTATAGACTAGACTATAGACTAGACTATAGACTAGACTATAGACTAGACTATAGACTAGACTATAGACTAGACTATCGACTAGACTATAGACTACACTATAGACTAGACTAGCACTATAGACTAGACTATAGACTAGACTATAGACTAGACTATAGACTAGACTATAGACTAGACTATAGACTAGACTATAGACTAGACTATAGACTAGGACTATAGACTAGACTATAGACTAGACTATAGACTAGACTATAGACTAGACTATAGACTAGACTATAGACTAGACTATAGACTAGACTATAGACTAGACTATAGACTAGACTATAGTCTAGACTATAGACTAGACTATAGACTAGACTATAGACTAGACTATAGACTAGACTATAGACTAGACTATAGACTAGACTATAGACTAGACTATAGACTAGGACTATAGACTAGACTATAGACTAGACTATAGACTAGACTATAGACTAGACTATAGACTAGACTATAGACTAGACTATAGACTAGACTATAGACTAGACTATAGACTAGACTATAGACTAGACTATAGACTAGACTATAGACTAGACTATAGACTAGACTATAGACTAGATTATAGACTAGACTATAGACTAGATTATAGACTAGACTATAGACTAGACTATAGACTAGATTATAGACTAGACTATAGACTAGACTATAGACTAGACTATAGACTAGACTATAGACTAGACTATAGACTAGACTATAGACTAGACTAGACTATAGACTAGACTATAGACTAGACTATAGACTAGACTATAGACTAGACTATAGACTAGACTATAGACTAGACTATAGACTAGACTATAGACTAGACTATAGACTAGACTTTAGACTGTTTACATACAAAAATTACCGAAATTGTCGTGCTGAAGTTTTGATGACTGCTCTTAACATGTCCTTAAAACTAAACTACATCCTTAAAATTAAATTACATCCTCAACTAAATTACACTCTCTTAAATTTAGGAAAGCTCTAACATTTTCATAAATAACACCTCACTTTTTAAGAGTTGTAATCAATTTACAGCACATTTTAAGAGATACTTTTTTCAAGAATACTTTGAAAGTATCTCTCTTAAAATGTATTTATCTTTCATGTTTTTGATTATTTTGTTTTTGTTGTTTTATTCAATAATAATTTTTACACATTGAAAGCAAATATTCATACATGTTAGTCGGCACGTAGGCATGTATTAGTGTATTATTGTTGTTATTTTTTTGTTGTATTTATGTTCGTACATTGTACAATTTTTTTTTTGTCTCAATGACAAATACAACAAAACAATAAAATAAAAAACAAAATGTATTATGGAAAATAAGGTGGTAATGGTGTGGAGGATGAGGAGGAGGTATGATTATTTTTAAATTGAATTTAACAATATTCTACATTTATTACTTCTACTTAAAGAATAACAACTCATTTAATATAGAATAAGTATTAGCTGTGTTGGCCCCTTTTAAATCTAAATTAAGACAAATGATTAATAAATATGATTTGTACTGGAAGACAGTTTGGGAATCTATAGGATGCACGTGTAAAAGAGTTTCTAATTTAGTTGATTTTTTAATGCATACCCTCATTTTAATAAAAATTTTGCGGAAATTTCCAAAAGTTTTTGGAGGGGTTGTAGTGGAATAGACAAGCCATTCAATAGGTTTGGATGGACTCGGTGACCGCTATCGACTGTGAACTAAAGCTACTTCTTGAATAATAATAAATACATATCGAAGTATAAGAAGTGAGAGAGGAAACCAGAATCTTTGCTATAATGTAAAACCTGACATACTACATGGGTGTTACCCAACAATACTGCCTAGTTCGTTGTGAAGCCTATTTTCTAGCTATTTTCCCCATAGACTATGTATTTTTGGATAATGGCAAATAATAGGTTCAAAAGTCTCTCGTTCCTCATCTCACATGCTCTAACTGAACAATGATCCGCTAAAATCCCTATCAGAGTCCTTAGGCTACATCTCTCCATTTCAACAGCCTAACAATGGCAAAGAAAGTGCTCCAGAGTTTCACTGCCCTCTATATATTTATCTGAATCCGCACGTCCAATTTTGTATAGTTATGCCCGTATTCCTATGTGATCACTCAAAATACATACCTGCATATTTTCTATAGTGGAAGTCTTCCAGTTCTGATAATTGTTCTATAGTGAAAAATCCTCAGATTTTATAAAATGTTCTACGAAGAAGTGCTCAGATTCCGATAATTTTCCTATAGAGAAATGTACTAATATTCTGGCAACTTTTCTATAGAGAAAAGTCTTCAGTTTACTGCAAATTTTCAACAGATCAAAGTCCTCAGATTCTGACAAGTTTTTTACAGATCAAAGTCCTCAGATTTTGACAAGTTTTCTACAGATCAAAGTCTTTAGATTTTGACAACTTTTCTAGAGAAAAAGTCGTCGGTTTTGGACTGATTCTCAGCTCAGATTCTGACAACTTAAACTGAAAAGTCTGACAATTTTTCTATAGTTTCCCTTTCCTTTTATATAGATAAAAGTCCTCAGATTCTAACAATTCTTAAACAGAAGATGATCCTCAGATTCTGATAACTTTTCTATAGAGAAAAGTTACACTAACATCGTTAGAGTTACCCTATACGATCCTTCCTTTTAAAGCAAATACATTCGATTTTTCGTTGCCGACTATTCCAGAGTGGCCTGGTACCTATATGATGCAAAATTTACCTCTTTAAGAGTATTCGGTTAAGGCTTTTTTACTATATGGTCTTAAATTTAACCTTTTCACCTGATATCTCCAGAATTGTCTAGTTGTTGTCGGAAAATATATTAACCCCTGTTGGCGCCATATTTATTCTAATCCAATTTACGCATTCCGTTATTGCTCGGACCTCAGCTAGTGTTGTGATTCGGAAAACGGTAGAATATTTATGTTTCTGGGCCTTCAGAACTCCAGGCCCGCTTTATAAACCCACTTTAGAGCCCTCCATGTAGCAATGGATTCCTACATTTGCTCACGGATCTTATGCCGAGATCCCAAAATGCCGTTGATCATTTTATCCCTGAACAGTGTCTCTTTGGACAATTCCAATATCATAGGAGGAGTTCCAAGAATCCCTCCTTTCGTTAAATAATAAATCCAAGACAAAGAAAGAAGTTGGTTGTGGAATTTTTATTGAATAATTTGGGTGTAAAATCTCTTTTAGGCTCAATGATGACTGCAGTATCCCTCCAGCTGAAATATTAGCGATCAAGAGGTCGTCGAATTGGCTAAGGTACTATCGGATATCTAAAAGAGATATTTGAATTTATACCTATAATTAAGTTGCTATTAAATCCCTTATTGGTATGTTTTCCACATCTACATCAGTCCATCAGACATTCAAACATTACCCTTATATAAGTCAAAGGACACGAGACAACATATAGCAATAATATTGACGACTTTTTGGCAAGAGTTGGAACTATGCTAAGTGAACTGAAAATAGATCATTTCTGTGGGATAGCTAGCCGAGTGAATACACATGCTCGAACTCTAGAGCGTTGTGACCTCATATGAACCCACATAGAACTACTTATCTCCTAGACGCATTGATCTTCTATACAATGACAGCTTCTGCTGTCAGAATGAGGATAAAGATGAAACGGTAGCCAATCTTCTCTATAACTGGAAACGGCTAGAAACCAACTTCTAGGGTAGACCCACTTCAACGATCTCTCTGATCTATCGATTAAAATGAG